CAGGTGATGGCCAGCTCTGGTGCTCTGCTTCATTGGAGCAGACATGGCCTAATGGCTACAGAACAGAACAGGAGCGAGCTTGCTGCATCCCGTAACAGGCTCTGCACATTGCTTTGAGGTAGTCTTAAAACACCCCTGCAGCTGCCAAGATCTCTTGTCATGTAGCTTTACAACTTTCATGTAGTTTTACCACTTTCAAGTTCAGTTGGATTTAAGACAGGTTTGGTGCCACTGCATTGGACTTGGTTTGAAAAATGGTCTTTTGTTTGTTAGTCTTTAGTCTAAAACTTATAAAAATATATCATGCCCCTCATATGAAACTACCTGTAAATCAAAATCAAAGAAAACTCAATAAGCCCATCCCTACCACCTGCACCACTGTTTGCAGTCAGAGCTCCAACAGGAATGGAACACAGTTCCCCCGCTAAACCAATATTTAACTAACAATCTGACTCACAGAGACATGCAAACATCCCACCACTGACTCACCATAGAGCTCCGCTCTTGGTTATCAGGCTGGGATTGCACCAAACACTACTGCAGATTATTGTTAGCAGATTTTTTATTAACTGCCAACTACATAACAAGCCAACCATATGGCCATGGCTTACCTGGAATGCCCCCGCCACCTCCCCTCCCTACCATGTAGAGGAGTGGAGGACTCAGCATGTCCCCACTGACCCAGGCAAGGACAGTCAGCACTGCCTTCCCTGCAGCTTGGCTGTCCTGCCCCCATCACCCCACTATCAGCACATGCTCAGCCTTATTCCCACTGTAACGATGTCCAGACACTGGGCTGTAGCCAGGCTGCCCCCTCCATCACAGCACGAACCACATGGACAACACCATGAGCTGCCTCGGGATGCTGGATTTCAGTGCAAAACTCAGACGAGTTCAGTGCACACTACAAAGTAGCACTCTGGTTTGCAGGTTGGAAGACAGTGGGATTTCAGCTGGGTTTTCCTGATGGTGAGAGAAAGGAGGCAACAAGAAAGGAGGCAGCAGATCAATGCCATGAAGAAAATGGAGCAGAGGTACTTCCCTCCTAATCTCCAGCACACCAGATACATGAGTTTACACATTTCGTTGTGATCTTCTATCCTCTCAGGGTACCTCAGGGTAATCCCAGATGTTCCAATACCCAGAGGGACTGCTTTGCACGACCTTACTGCAGGCTGCTCCAAGGCTGATCTGACCTGGCCGATGTTGTGGCAAAGCACAGAACATTCTGCATGGTTCTGAAAGAGTCAAACAAAATGAAAGCAGTTAATTCGTTGCCTCAGATGGCATTTTAAAACCAATGCACTGTAGTTACTATCAAAAGTGATACCAAAAGTCCTCTCCTGACCTTCAGTAACCATCTTTGAACTGTTTCTAGCTCCACACTTTTCTGTTTCTAGCTCCACAGACTTTTTATTTCAAAAGACATTTCCACTGTTAAAACACCCCAAACCTTGGGATGGGGAGGAAGTTGAAAGGGTTAAGATCTGACAGCAGAAATACCAGCTGTACCTCTGACTTATCAGATTTATAGATTTATACTGTAAACCCCCTGAATATCTGCTGTTGGGAACGTTTCCCTCTATATTTAGAACATCTGAACAGCTGCAGCTATGTTCCTTGCCTGTGCATTAATAAAAATCCATACATGTTATGCATGTGGGAAAAAAAGGAGTTCTGAAGACCTGAAGTTTCTGTCTGGGGATGTGGGCCCCCAGAAGCTTACGATAACCCAAAATCACAGAATCACAGAATCACAGAATCGTAGGGGTTGGAAGGGACCTCCAGAGATCATCGAGTCCAACCCCCCTGCCAAAGCAGGATCCCTACACCAGGTCGCACAGGTAGGCGTCCAGGCGGGTCTTGAATATCTCCAGAGAAGGAGACTCCACAACCTCCCTGGGCAGCCTGTTCCAGTGCTCCGTCACCCTCACCGTAAAGAAGTTCTTGCGCACATTGGTGCGGAACTTCCTATGCTCCAGCTTCTGGCCATTTCCCCTTGTCCTGTCTCCGCACACTGCTGAAAAGAGTCTGGCCTCGCCACTTTGCCCCCCACACCTTAGATATTTATAGACCTGGATCAGGTCCCCTCTCAGTCTTCTCTTCTCAAGGCTAAACAGACCCAGCTCACTTAGCCTTTCCTCATAGGGGAGATGCTCCAGGCCCTTCACCATCTTTGTGGCTCTCCGCTGGACTCTTTCCAAGATATCCCTGTCTTTTTTGTACTGGGGAGCCCAGAACTGGACACAGTACTCCAGATGAGGCCTTACCAGGGCAGAGTAGAGGGGGAGGATCACCTCCCTCGACCTGCTGGCCACGCTCCTTTTAATGCACCCCAGAATGCCATTGGCCTTTTTGGCCACAAGGGCACACTGCTGGCTCATGGCCAACCTGTCGTCCACCAGGACACCCAGGTCCCTCTCCACAGAGCTCCTCTCCAGCAGGTCATCCCCCAACCTGTACCGGTGCATGGAATTATTCCTCCCTAGGTGCAAGACTCTACACTTGCTTTTGTTAAACTTCATCTGGTTCCTTACTGCCCAGCTCTCCAGCCTGTCCAGGTCTCGCTGAATGGCAGCACAGCCTTCGGGCGTGTCAGCCAATCCTCCCAACTTCGTATCATCAGCAAACTTGCTGAGGGTGGCCACTACCCCCTCATCAAGGTCATTGATGAAGATGTTGAACAGGACCGGTCCCAGCACCGACCCCTGGGGAACACCGCTGGTTACAGGTCTCCAACCAGACTCTGCACCGCCAATGACAACCCTCTGCGCTCTGCCAGTCAAGGCAATCCATGCAGAGGATTCCACTCTTCATCCCACACGACTCATACCCATCCCCTGCTCACTCCTGTGGGCTCCAGCCAGCCTGGGATGCTGCAGAGGGGCGGAGAAGCAGCCCAGCACATTCCTGTTGCAGCCCGTCACAATGTGAAGTTTTCCCCAGCTGGAAGCAACATTCAGGCGGTCCTGTTTAAACAGAAACTGTGAACTGGCTAGGCCAATCCTGAACCCAGGTGTGTTACACCCTGAATGCCTGGCAGCACAGATCTACAGACACATTTCTTCTTTCCCTGGTGAAACCTTAGTTTCAATAATATAGAATTATCTTACAAACGAAACCTCTTTGTTGCTACCTAGGCCAGCAGGAGCATTTCTCTGGTAAAAACCGGGATGCAAAGTATGTCCTACAAGAGGCCATAACCAGAATAACAGCAAATGTTTCATTTGAATACTACCCATACCAAAGTGGTTTTGCTTTATTATACTGTAATTAAATACAGTTACATTAATAATGTCTATCAGGTCATTCATTTCCTGTTGTAAGATTAAAATATTAAAACTTGGCAGAGCAGCACATTGCTGCACCAACTTACAGCTTTCTGTAGAAAAAGCATCCGCTTATTCAACTGCGCTCATTGTCATCACCAAGATTACTATAAAAGATGAAAGCTTAAGGTAATGCTTACCGAGCAACTTTAACACCCCCACCTTTTAATAATGCTAGCAGATTTTCACACCCAGTGTTCAATACATCTTACCAGAAGTTAAGTGCCTGTATGGAAGGAACTCATGTGTGCAGCCAGTGCAAATAAATGCCACAACCTTATATGGCTTTAAGGAACACTAACTGGGCTCAGTCAAATTCTGTTCTTCATCAAATTTTATTTAGAATTAAAATTTATTGTTCAAAATGTATGCCCATTCTGTAGGTATAAAAGTTTAAAAAAATACATTGATTTATTGATAAATGTTTCCGGTTAAATTTACATTTTCATACATTATCATTATATTGCAAAGCTGTTATGAATCCTTTAACACTTAGAAAAAAATAAATTAATGGGAATGATAAAACCATTTCAGACCATGCTAAAATAATTCCTAAAAAAAAATAGGGATGAAGTCTGTCCCAGTATTTAATTCCTTGCTCCTGTAAATAAATAACTTCATAAGCAGTACAAGGAAGCAGCGGATAGAGCAAAGCACTTACCCACAGTACCCGTGGCCATGGCAGGGTGCCAGTACCGTCCAGATGAACAAGGAGAGTTAAGCTCTGTCCTTTCAGCAGCCCTGGCGCTGGGCGCCTCAGAGCTAAACCACAATCCCACCCTGCTCCCTATAAAACCCCACCCACCCGGCCCCAGTGGGGGAGATCACTTTATCCGAAAGAGTCAAAAAACCTGACTGCCTTTGTGCAGAACTTGAGATTGCATCTCCAGAGCCAGAGGGGCTCAGGTACTCCTACCAGCAGCCAGAACATGCAGCTCAACTAATGCACATGGAGCTCTGCAGCAAAAAGAAGCATCAAAACAGCCAGGACCAAGTCTGAGCTTACCCGAACAAACCAGAAGTCTTCAAAACAGCCGTGGATGTCCCTGTTCATTGCAGGGGAGCTGGACTACATGACCTTTAAAGGTCCCTTCCAATTCTAAGGATTCTGTGATTGTGTGAAAACATGAAGTGAGCACTTCAGGACCCTCCTTTACATGAAAAAAACAGAAAAATCTGAAGAATAAAACTACAGAACAGTGTGTTCATCTCCTTACTGCACACACTGATCGCCCTGAAGGGCAGCAGCACAGTTCACTGCTAGAAATCCTGGAAAGTCCTCACAACTATTGTGAAAGTTGGGGGGGGATTTGAGGGGAGCACATGTGAACCAATGCCTGGCAACACAGAAGGCTGTTAAGTTAACCATGCACTATGCCTTCTCGCTGGATGTATTTCTCTGCACAAATCCAGTGCTGTGCTACACACAAAGCAGCTTCCTCTTGGCATCACCCTCTTCGAATGGGACGTTTCAGAACTCTGGGAACTCTCAAGGTGGACAGAGACATGCATGTTTGTACATAGATATATACAACAAGGTTAGAAAAATATTTAATTTTTGCTTGCTTAAATAATTATTGAAAAGTGTTAATACATGAATACATTAATATTTGTACAATTAAAACTTTATATATAAATATTTATATTATTATATATATATATAAAGCACTTTTCATAGCAGCCATTGCATATATAGTAAAATGAGTTTGTTTGAACTTGATGCTGCAAAGCTCAGGCCAAGCAGCGTTAGTCCCCTTCCGAGAGGAACTTCTGTACCAGAGCTGAGTTTTAGGAGGAAGAGCCATGCTGTTACGAACAGCGTATGGTGTCTGCCCTGCTGTCAGATGCCACCCACCAAAGAGCACAGCATTTTTAGGGGGAAATGTCACTACGTGGAGTCACTGTGTCTCTCAGCTTCTTCCTTAAACACCAGAATCAGGTTAACACGCTCTTCTACAAGGAATGCACAAACATGATGGAATGCCTTTAAGTGGGCTTGTTCTCATGGCAGGCCACAGCCTTGCTGCAGCATGCAGCAGGAGGCACCACGCAGGACTGGGCTCAGCAGCTCATGTTCAGCTTGTTTTTGTTGAGTTCCCTTTCCAGGTTTCCTATCAGGGTATCGATACTTTCCTGTAGGTCCTTGAGGTTTGCCCTGTGGCTCCCCGCTGAGTCTATTGCCTGCATTGTCAGATAGCTCTGGAATGCGTGTTCCCCGGGGAGGGGCTGTGGGTGCTTCATCAGGCCATCAGCATCATCGACTCTGCTGCTGTCGTCCCCACTCTCCGAATCCTCCGAAGGGACATCGTCATAGTCTGCCTCTCCCAGGCAGTCCCTGGGGCTGCAGAAGTAGCCTTCCCCACAGCTGCTCCAGTCGCCCGCGTAGCGGTTGCTGGAAGGGCTGTCCAGGCCAGCCGGCCTTGGCCGCAGCATCCCGCATGCATCAGCGCTGCTCAGGTTCAGCATCTGCGGTCTCTTCCGCCGCGGCCTCAGGTAACGCAGGGACAACGGGTGCTCGGGAGGCGTGCTGGGATGTGCTGGTTCCTGGGCAGGTGAGTGGTGCACTAGAAGAAAGGAAAATTTTACACCCCGTGTGGCTGAATCCACATGGCAACACGAAGGGTCCGTGACAGCACCCACGGGCGAATGGCATGCATGATGCGTGCAGACTCTCAGCCAACACACTGTGCTACTGCTGCCTGATCAAATACCATTAGGAAAACCGCTGTAAAAGCTTGGCATTGAAGAGTCATGCCAGATGCAAACTGCAACAGAGAAATCCTCCCTCAGCAGAGATGCTCCCAGAGCACAGGTCACATTCAGGGCATGAGGTAACCACCATCCAGCTCTGGTGCAGACAAACCAAACCACTTGGCTGAAGGGAATAGCAGAAAGCAGGCACAGCAACAGAGGTTAAAACAACAAAAATACCACTGCAGAGAAACACTTGGAGAAGTTGAAGATGCACCAGAGCTGAATTCTCATGTTTCTCTTTTGCCCTGATGTTCTGCACTATTAATAGAAGCTCACTGGCATTAATTTCTCTAAGCAGCCACAACCAGAAGCACACTCCGACGGGCTTACAGTAGTTACCTGAGCTCACGGTTACACAGCACAAGTTACTTAGAGCCACCTCCATTGCTACTGGCTTCCTATGGTAAACAGCACACAATTTTACTGGCCTGCACCTATTAAATGTCTGAGCCATAGAATCTCTTTATGTTTTAAACAGGCCATGCCCACCTGTAATTAGCTGCAGACTTTGTATGCACAAATGCACTGTTCAGCATCTCACTGTCATTCCCTTGTTCCCCTACAGAACTGCCAGTGCTCCCCCTGCCCACACTGCAGCCCCCCATGGTGCTCCAGCCTCGCTTTACATCTCACAGTAGTGCACAATAACTATCACTGCTTTTTTCCCCCTCTCTCACTTTAACAAAAGCCCTTCTGTTCAGACTCTGCTCCATTAAGATGAAGGGCCATGGGTTAACAATAACTTGCCAGCATTGCATGTTCTAGCCAAACAAGGACTTATTTGTTTTCTGTTGGAAAAACACGGAAATTGAAGTATTACACAACATGTTGATTATCAAGCTGCCCCAATCTACAGAAGATAAAATGGAAGAGTCCAGACTGCAATCTCTCCTCCAGGTCCAGATGCACTGCTTACAGCTCACTAGAGTTCTCTCGCTCACAGCTCTGCACTTATATTTTAACTCTAAGTTAGCTGTGCCCTGCATGCTTCTTGCAAGTTGAGGACTTCAGCCTTCCATTCAAGGTGAGGAGGAGCTCTACTTATCTTACTCATCTCAACAGAAATACACACTCCCATGGGCAGAGCTGCACCTACCTGCCCTTGCTTTCTGCAGCAGCCATGCAACAAACTGCTCACAAACATCCCACTAGGCTTCAGTGCAGCATGTGCTGCCCAAGCAGCTTATGGTCCCCCTCTTTTAGCCACACTTCCTACCCCTTCTGAACTGCCTCATGGGTCTGCGCGAAGCTGGGAGCTTCAGCCTGCTTCTCACCCAGAACTTCCATCACACTGATCAGCAGCAGACTGTGAGACACGTTCACATAGTCAGCAGGTTCCTCACACAAAACTTCAGAACTATTCCTGGCTAAGTAAAGCAGAGACTACTTAAGACAAACCCTGTAACAACATTATTGTGTAGATTTCAATGCTTCTTTTGCAATCATAAAAATCTCTTTAATGAGGCATTATGTTTCTTATATGGTTTATGAACTACTAAGGTGAAAGTCTACATGTTTGCATGTCTATCCTGCACTGTGTGCTAGAGCACACGCATTTATACCTCATGCCCACAAATACACAACAAATCTGGACAGCTGCTGTTTGGAATTTTTTATACTGTATTATTTTTTTTGTTAATTTGCCAGAAACAGATCTTTGTCAACTTTTAACCAATTCTGTATTGCCTATCAGCCCCTTTGTGACCCTCCGTATTTCCTAAGTGCTCCCAATTCTCCCACGAAAACCAGACAGCCTCCACTTCAAGTAAAATCACATAAATTTAACAAGAAATACAATCTGACATACTATTCCTTTGGATTAACTGCAATTGTCTCAGTGCAGAAAATCAGTACTTTTCCAAGAGCAATTACTGTGTTCTAAAAGGGAACAATTAAGAAGCTGTTCAGACAAGATACATCCTCTCTTCGTCAAAAGAACATAAGGGTTTACACTGTTCAGGTTTGAAAAGCAGTTATTAAAACACCCAGGTTAACCAGCTGACAATTTTCTGCACCATCAGTGAAAACACTGTGAAGAATGAAGGAACCACAGCATGGAGCAATGGACACATCTTCCATATAGCGAGGAAACTGACAACAATTTGGCCAAAGAATACCCGAATACAAAATTAAGGCCATTGGATCTAATGTTGTTTCACAGTGTTCTTATCAAACTTAACTAAAACCCCCAAATATCTTAGCCTGATCTTGCCCTAAAGCAGCAGTGCTTATTGTGGTTCAACTGCAGAAGACGAAATGCAAGGGAATTCACTGTGGGCTGAAATCTACAGCTAACCAATGTCACTGTATCTCCACTGTTTCTCTGAACAGCCGGGGACACGTGAACTGTATAATCATTCAAGTGGTCCTTGAAAGGAAAATCTTTGCAGAAATAATTAACTTCACTTGTACTTCAATAGTTAATCGAATTAGAATCTCACTTCCATTACTGGGAACTGACCCCAACTCATGGAAAATCATTCGAGCTCTTAAGTTTAGAAACATGAAATAAAAGGTACTTGCACACAATATTTTTCCTTATGCAAAGCTCTGAAGAAACAATAAGAAGTTGCATGGCCCCTACTACAAGGAACAGCTCTGCCAAATTACAAGTGTAGAAATAAAGTAAATCATTGAGTCTCAGTGACCAAACAACTCATGAATCCCATATACTCAGAGTCCTGAACGGCTGAAGTAAGCAAGCAGGAAAACAAGAACTAGAAACTAACTAAAGTTCAGATATGGGAACATTACTATTACTGGGTCTGCTTTCTCTGATATCTTTACTTACATAATGCACTTTTCACTGAATTGCTGCCACTTGGTAAAGAAGTAATTAAAACAATAAACTTTACATTAAGCAGTGGTTTAATACAAAGAGTAACTACATGATTGCATGATTTCTTTACATTAATAGGTGATGCCACAGTACCTCATATTTTAAAAATCCTGATTCTGCTCAGTTACCCTGTGAATTAATCTACACTGTCACACTAAAAACATACAGCAACAGTTCGACAGTTCCCCCTGATTAGATCAGTGAAACAGTACCTGGCCACAACTGGAGTAAGTAGTGAAGAACTTCTATGTGTTTTTTGAAGTCCAGGGCACTAGCGAGCTCCTCTGAGTCTGTGAAGACTCTGTTGTTGTGGTTGGTGGTCTCCTGCCTCTGGCTCAGTAACACGGGCCCAAAGCACACAGCTAAGTTCTGGCACGTCATCTTATTTACTTCGTGGTAAGAAGCCACCAGTTTCAGGTGATCCAACAGCATCTTCAGGGTAGCCTGCAGAACAAAACACTCATCTCGAAACACAATACTGCAGCATTGCCACCTTAACATCACTGCTCTAGAGGGATAATACCAGGGCTGATAGCTCAAGCCTTTCTATCAACACCCAGCAGTGGAACGCCTAAGTGCTGCATAAAAGAGCTGTGTTAGACTGCCACAGAGAGACAAAGTAGGACAGAATTTCTGGTAGAATTCATCTTGCTTCTCACCTGATCTCAGTTCTATATGAATGAGTTTGCTAGCAGCAGAGAGGAGATATCAAAGAAGGGAGAGACTGCAGAAGCACTACAGGCAAACCAGATATACTAGAAGATGAAGAAACCCTTAGAAAGACTTCAGCGTCAGAACAAGCCTCCAGAAGTTACTTAGCTTTCAACAAAAATAACCCATTGCTAGCTGTTTGGCCACCCAGTCCTGCTGTAAATGAGAACAGCTTACCTGAAATCTAAAAATATAATAGTGCCATTTTTACTGCTCACCTTTACAGAGATAATCTGTAAATGTACATCTAAATGAAAGTTATGGCCAGATACCTTCACTCTTGAAGTATTTTCAAAGACTTGGAGCATTACAAATCCATGTTTTCAGAAAACAGTTGTACATGTTTTGACATGCTTTAAATCCAGGGTGAAAATACTCCTTTATTTTCTGAAGCTGGCAATTTACCATTACTTGACACCATTAATACCACTCACCTTCTCAACATCTGGGAGGCAATCCAGAAGGGCTGCTGTGTGCTCAGAGTCACTTGGGTCATTTTCACAACCAGCAGCTGCCATCTTCAAGGGATTTTTCACCATGGCATCCACCACTGCTTCATAGAGCTGTTTGGTTATCAGTGGAGAGGGCAGCTCTCGCAGGTAATCCTTTAGGACGCCTTCAGAAGAGGTACAAGAACAGCTGCTGTTATCAAGCTGCATGTTCACTGTTTGGAATGGGTTGGAAGCACTAAGGCACAAAGAAATCATGTATCTCCCAGGAAAATTCTTCATGCCAGTGACAAATTCAGGAGCTAGGGACAGGAGGAGGCAGTAAGGGTAGAAAAACACCAGCAAGCTGAGCAGCAGCTCTGCAGAGGACAGGCACTGGCTACAGCCAGCGGGCGGCCCTGCTCCTGCAGCTCTGCACCACTCGCGTCCTTGCTGCCATCCCAGCACCCGGCTCTCCCAGCTGCACTATGTACAGCTGCATCTCCAGAGCTGGAGGAGAGGTGCTTTCTGCAGGACGCAACAACCTGGCAGCGCTGCATCCAGCTTTTATGCCTTCCACAGATGCAAACAAATGAGAAGGAGCTGAGTGTCTGCATTCATGTAAGTTGATGCTAAAAGCTGGCTACACTTCAATGTGAGCCAATTTCAGCAACTGTAAGAAGAAAACCCAGCAAAAGACTTCTGCTTGGCCCTGGAAAGCACACAAACATAATGCCATGGGGCAGCGCATCCAGCACAGCCAGCACTAAAAGCTCTGAGGGAAACAAACAACTCTTATTGTCCTCTAAAAGAATAAAGAAAAAGCATTCAGACCATAAATATCTGCCCATTCAACTACATTACAACTTAAGAAGTTTGTTAAGAAATGATGCATTAAAAAACCTTTTGAAAGAGGACACTGTAATTAACAGAGCAGCCTGTCCTCTGATAAGGCACACTTATAAAGAAAGATTTTTTGGCACATGCTCCATACAGCTCTGGAAAACCCCACATCAGTGTAAATACTGTCATGTTTTGCTATTTGATAAAACAGTTCATATCAATTCTGTCTTCATAACTTAGCTGTAAACTGAATCACACTGCAGAAGGCTTTTTATGAGGCTGTTTATAAAAAATACAAGGAATGGAAGCTAATGTTTCTCTTCTGCAGCCACGTTTGCAGTGGCTTCTCGCTGTGTAACTGGTACCACTGAGAAATGAGGAGTGCACCCAGTACAGAGGCAGCCAGCCAGGCCCTGCCCCACAAGCAGTGCAAACCCAGCAGTAGGGCCCCGCACAGCCCCTCTGTCTGGGCAGGCCAGCAGCCAGCACACAGCCCCCCAGCACAACATAGGAACGGACTGGCAGGGGTATGAGAAACAAAACCAGCCAGCTCTACGTTTTCCTGAACACAAATTCCTCTGGGCTTCTTTGTTTGCTTTGGGGTTTTCTGTTTTTATGCAAAGCAGTTACAGAAGTTACATACTACGCTTCTGTTTAGTAACTTATTCACATTCCTCCGTTCCCACCAATGATATTTCATCTTCTCAATTCTGAAGTGTCCCACGTGCATCCACAGGTGAAAATGAGAGCAATGTGGCAGCAGGAGGTGCAGCACAGCACAGGCTGGGATGCCTTTCCCTCTTATCTACGTAAAGCACCAGCAGGAAATGCTGACACTGCCGTGTTTTGGGTGGGGAAGACCAAATTCAGAATCATCTTACAGCAGGAAAGGACTAAAGATATGTCCGTGTCAGATCAGCTACTGCTACTGCAACAGTCACAGCTGATGACTGAGAATTCCTCTGACAGCAACCACAACCACAAGACCACTACCTGCTGAAGGACCTTAGAATCATCGAATCGATAGAATCATTAAGGCTGGAAGAGACCACCAGATCACCTAGTCTACCCATGAGCATCACGTCATTAAATCATGTTCCTCAGTGACCCTGGTTAAGAGGGCAGCTCGGAAGCCACTAATGCCCTTTGGCCTTTCTACATGTTTTTGCTAATCACTCTGCCAAATTAGCCCTGTTTTCTTGCAGGAAGCCATACTCCCTGCTGCTAACCCACTGGCACGTTCTCCTCGCCACGACCCTTCACCCTACAAAGCAAATGGAGACAGCAAGCTGAGATTACCATTCACTTCAGTGATCCCTCATTTTTCTGGCCCACTGAGCTGTTAACAGTGTTACACGCTTTATTTAGAGATATGAATTCACACAGATGAGAACAGACATGATGCAACAACTTCTAATGGTCAGTTCCTAAAATTGGCAGTGCATTTGGTTTTGAGCCACGAGCGCCTCTGTAAGCTTGTGCCAACCCCAGGGGCAGTTCTCAGTAAAGATTTAATCATTAAATGTTCATTCTTTGGTCTTTGGAGAGCTGTCAAAAAAAAAAAAAAAAAAAAAGAAAATCTTTACAGTCATCTGGAAAAACAGCGCTACTCAAATTTCAAAAAGGACACAAGAAAGCACTTCTCTCCAAATGTGCCAAGATTTATGCTGAGGATTCACATTCTATGGAACAAATGCTTTGGCTTAGGGAAGTACGAGTCACGAGATGCAGCCTCAGCATCGCAAGCACAGCATGAACAACCGGGGCAAACAGCCACTGCCCAGGCTCCCTGTACAGTGAGACTGTGCTCTGTGGGCTCTTTGCTTCCATGCTGAGCATAGCAGGTAGACCAGCTCTGCCAGCACAAACTGCAGTCTCACCTTTATGCCCAAACCGTGCTGCCCACAGCTAAGCAGAGAACGGCTCCCCCTCATCAACGTGGCTTAAAGAGATGGTTGCGTGGCATTAAAGTACACTTTTCAGATTAAGCACCACATCTTAAACCATGACAGAAAGCACAGACAGACTGGCACTGCTGCCCTGACAGGGCCTGCTGTCTGCACTGAACACTCCTGCAGCTCCGAGCTCAGCTTCTACCAGTAACAGCGGGTTCTGAGTGCACAATGCCCTTGGGGAGACAATGCTTGTGATGCATTGCAGGTTCTTTTGTACACATACAAGGAAGCCTCAACACCCTTCCCCATGATATTCCCGAAACATTTCTGCAAATAGTTCTGCTGTACATCATTTCTGATAGCATGGGAGTGCAATGAATTCTTTATCATTGCAAAATTAAATAGCCAAAACTCTATATTAACCAAGAATCTGTTTGACATTTGTCTGCTTACAAGTCAACATCAGATAGTTACTGCTGTTTTACAGCACCACTGATTTACTAAAATTGAGAAAAGTTTTCAAGAATAATCAATATCATCATGTTAGAAATCATCACTGCTTCTTTCATGAATCTATTTGCAAGGAGAAGAAAAACATTAAGTTAAAAGATCATTTCTATTATTTACTTCTTTTGTTCGCCTTCTCCCAGTAGAGGATGCATCACACACAGCAGAGTGCAACACGAGCCCAAGGTTCTGCTGCTGAGAACGCTGGTGCTGGTGAGCAATGATGAGCCCAACCGTGAGGCCAAGGGAGTTCAGGTGAACTGACCTGCTGGGTCTGTACAAAAGGTTTGGTTAACAAAGAAAATGCCACTGGGCAGCATCTTCTGACACCACCTAGAATAATTACAAAATGTACTGAACACAAAATTAATTCTCAATACACTGCAAGTGGAAGAATCAAATGGGATAGAACTGCTCAATGCCTCTGAATGTCACAAAGTGCTCTGGCACAGAAAATTTACACCGTGGCTGCTGATGTTAACATTTTCCATCACTGGATTGGAAGTAATAAAATGTTCTTGTCTAATTGCCTCAAGCTGCCATCACTGAAATCAGCTCAACTTTGGTTTACATAACAAATATCATCAACAGCTACAAACCTGTTTGGCCTTTAAGCAACAACAAAAACATCTGACAATTTCAGCTGTACTGGGCACATACGCTCCCTTAAAAAGCTGGGGCAGGTGAAGAGAAGTTTTGTCAGACCTCCTGTTCCTCTGCCCCCAGCCCCTCTCCTTCACCAGGATGCTATGTGAAAGCCCCCACCTTGTGCAGGTTTCCTTCCTACACCAAGTTTCATCAGTCAGTGTAACTCCATCCTCCTCCCTCCTAATCACAGCTACTTGAATACACACCTCCGACGTTACTGAGCTTGCTTTCGCAGTACAGAGAAGTAGATAATGGCTTGTTAAACAACAACAAAAAACTAGTTCAGAGCCTCACCTTCTAAAAGGTATGTTACGAACATGTCAAAATAATATATTGAAAGAGAAGTCAAATCATTACCTGTTATCACATTAATATCTGGGTACCGGCTTTCACAGAGAGTCACCGCCTTGCTGTCCCTCTCAAACGCCTCTCGAAGCTCCTTCTTAACCGCCGCAGAGCCACACAGCCGATACAGGCCTACAACCTATGGGCAAGAACCACAGCTCCACATCAGTCATCTCCGCAAAGCAGAACACGTCATGTTTGGCCGCAGCTGGGAAGTGCAGCAAGATGCTCGGACAACTGTTAAGAAAACTCAAACAACGTCAACTGCTATTATTAATTGATCACGTACGCCATCAAAAGGTACTCAAGAGACAGCTGACAGGCAAGTGACTAACACCAAAGCTTTCTACAGCAGGGGACATCCTGAGCAGAGTTCACTGAGCCATCCCAAGCTGTAAGCCAGAAGCACACCACCGGGTAATTCAGAATTCTCTTGGGACTTTGCTTTTATGTAAAACTTGGGAAACAAGGAAATAAAGATAAACATAATTCTCCTCTTTATCCTACGCATTCAGATCACCATCGTTCTTTCTAGTAATAACTGTATAATTATATAAGATAAAAATGGGCCTTAAGCAGAAATGAAGAGAAAAAGCATTTTGAAGTATATTTGAACATGTTCCAAAATTGTTATTAATCGTTAGTAGAAAAAGGTAGCAGCACAACCAACTACCTAATAAACAAGAGATGTCATAAATCTCTTAAGGAAAAAAACCCATAACATTTTCCTACAAGAAAAAGCTAGATGTAACTAAAACTCCTCTTGGTGTTGGTAGAAAGGATTTCAAGAGAATTACGAATACTCCATTCTAATAACATTCACAAGTTGCTATTTTAAAGATGACAAGATGCTGACTTCCACATGTCAAATGACATGTAACATTTAATGTAAAGCAAGGGTTATTCCATACGCTCAGGATGATAGGAGTGACTCCACAACACATATGGACTGTATTACTAAGTCAATTACGTGCTTTCACACACTCCAATTTTGCATTTTTTTGTTGCTATATTTTTCATTTTCATCACCACCGTGACTGAGAGAAGCTAAATCTTACATATATTATTTTAATTTAGTTTTAATGGATTTTACAGGCAGATGTACTGAACAAGACATGATTAGCCCCAAAATGCTGTGGACTTGAACAACCAACCAGCTCAAAACTTGACGCAGTCTGTGCTGGTCTTAGAATGTGCATATCCAGGTTTGCAAAGAAGAGTATTTGTCTGACCATACATTAATTCCTGCTTAAATACATGGAAAGTCACTCAGTGGAATTTGTACTCTCTCTTTCCCAAGACCAAATAAGACCCAATATTTGCCTAAGAAAATTTCAACCATGTTTTGTAACACTATGTCTGAAAGTCAGGTGGAGATGACATATCATGACAGTAGTCTGCATTCTAAGAGAAAATCAAAAGGTCAGAAAAGTGCATGGTTAAAAGTTAAGAGTATATTTTGCATTTTGCATTCTCCCTGAGCAAATGCACAAATTAGATTTTATGCTCAGAAGCACCAGGTGCACACAGACAGCTCAGATCCCAATCGCCTCATTACCAGTGATGTCTTGATTACCCAAAATCATTTGCATGACTAGGTGCTAATAAGCCCAAAATAAAACACTGAAACCATGAGACACAAATACTGGAAAGAATACAACTTCTTTTTTTCACTGATTTGCATGTTAGGAGAAGCACAGTGAGAATCACACAGTTATTATCAGTACTGACTTTCAACAAAGTAATTACATACAAATACCATTCCTGTCTGTATATTTTGATCTAGGTTATAAGTAGCCATTAATTTCTTAACACTATATAGTGGGAAACTATAGCCAAACTGTTAGCAATTAAAAGTAGTAACAGTGGTAGTTGTGATTACCTCTCAATTTCACCTGAGCAGCAACAGGCGTAACAGAAACCAAGGGCTCACAGGCTACAGAGCAGTATGTAGAAGTCCTCTCACAATTTCAAATGAATTACCAAGGGGCAACATCTGTCCTTAGGACTCCACATCTTCCTTCCTAAGAAATTTCTAGTCTAGCATCTGTAACTGGGCATTTATTTCTACATTTTTTCTCCATTGGGTTACACCAACTGAAATAAGTTGCATTAAGATGAAGAGAACACAGTGGGCCTTTCCTAATCCTACGGACAACTTGAAGAAAGGCTAGGAGAAGCACTGTGAGGAAACAAATAACCTATCTCCTCAATAGCTCTTCCTCATCTTCGTGCTTTGCATCAAGTGTGGGTGGGAGTATCATACTCCTTGTGTGTCAGTGCACTATGTCCTTAAATAATGGTCTGTGCCTCAGAATTAGACATTTCCAAATCCTAATCTCAGCTCTGCCTTATTTTGAGGGTGACTCTACATGCTGGGGGCTGCAGTCCTAAAGCTACTGTGAGCAAGTATTCTCCTCCTTTACAAGAGCAAAGTTGGAAGCACTGATTTCACAGTCCTGCTATTCTTCCCCCAGTACAATGACTGGAGTTCACCACACTACGGGAGCAAGAAAATAAGTTAGAAACCACTCCTGCTCCAGAAGTAACAGTGCAAAGATCTGCAACAGAGATCCAGAGACAGCAATATTAACAAAACATTAAGATACATACAGTACCTGGCAGCCCCTTTTTTCAATTTCCATTACGCATTTCTGAATTAAAAGCGGCACCATCAGGCCTGTATTTTCCTTCTCTACCACTTTTCGAGCATCTACACCAAACATCACTGGTTCCCGATCTGCATCCAGACCATCAAGAGAGTTCTCCCACTGCTCCATAAGTGACAGTTTGACATAAATAAGCCCCCTTGGTTCCAGTCTGACAGCCAGCTGATGTGTTTTTGTCACTCGAAAGAGAGTAGGAAGAGCCACAGTGCCATGACAACAAACACGGTTTTTCCGTGGGGTGGGCTCCCAGCTGAACACCACCAGCTTTAAGTGCTGAGCATTTTCAATTTCTATGTTAAACGTGTGGTCCATATCTAGAAAAGTTGTCCTACATGTAAGCAGGGCTGTTCTCGCTTTGTTTACTGAGTCAACCTGTATTGCACAAAAGACATCTTTTGAGTCTATTTTTGGTGGTTTCAAGTCCTCAGCACCATAAAAGTGAATGCTCATAAGTCCAGAGATGTACTGGGAACACTTGGGTTGATCAGAAAAGTTGTAGTGCCTGAAAGCATCGATATCTATCTCAGTTTTACCACTGTTACTTGGAAAGCTCTCTTTTCCTTTCCCACACTTGGTTTCATGTCCATGTTTGCCTGATTTGGTCAAAAGTTCAGGAGAGTCACCATCACTGAGGTAACCACCTTTGCTGGAGGATTTGGAACTCCTTGAGCTTTTCTTTTTGTAGGTGTGCTGTGATGACACACTGCTGTCGAGATGGTAACGACTTATGACATTCCTGCTGGCAGCTGCAGTTGAGTTTCCAGAAGATGGCAAAGACGCTGTATGGCTTGTATCCCGAGAGCTCCCTTTCAGCAGGGAAGAAGGATTATCTGAGCTATTATGGCTTGAAGTTCCCTTGACACTCAGCTTCCTGCTGAGTTCTGGCAGTTTTTTCATTTTCATGGAAAGCTTCCTCACAGTTCTGGGAGATTTAATTCGGTCGGGGAAAGGCCAATTGATTGATCCACTTTTTTTCAAGGGACTAGGACTTGGAGGAGAAACTTCTGTTATTGGTATATCAATCTTGTGTGCGAGTAGAACTCCAGGCCCTTTAGGAAAAAAAATTAAAGAGAATAAACAGATGTTCTGTAAGTGCAGTTCACAGTAATGACAATAAAATATTGAAGTAGAGGAAAACACTTTGATTTGTCTTAACTTGATAAATGCAGCTCATTCAGATGACTGTCATTCATCAGTTAGAGATATTAACAAGCACCCAGAGCGTTGTACTCTGTTGACCTGTTCAACCAAATTTGGCAGTTCATAGTCAGAAGCCTGATTTGTTCTGCTCTATAGAGATGAAAGAGTCAGAAACTACAGATAAACAAATGAGCTATTTCACCCACTGCATTCAGCTCTTGTCCATTTGTGTTACATCCCTCTCATCCAGACACAAGTGCATTCCTGGGGCACAGGTGCAATGAAATCAGTCTTCAAAGGGAAAGCACTGGAAAATGACAAGTGCACTTCTGCCCACAAAGCAGTTAGCAACAAAGATTAACATATCAGCATTGCCTTCTCAAGTCTAAAGGAAACATGCACATCCCTGGTAAAGGATACTGCTACAATACTTTGCATTTCCCTCTCTTATCCAAAAGAACTCTGGAGAAGTGTCTCACCTCCCTTCTTTCATTTTTTTCAGCTCCCCTTTCCTGCTGCAGAGAGGAGCAGGAAAGCAACAAGGATTTATTTATTCCAAAAGCTGCACTGTGCACTGCCTTGTTTGTGCCAGCAATTTTCCCTCTGTCCTGGCACAGCCACCCTATGACAGGGCTTAAAGTTATACAGTTCCCAACTGATACCATGGTGGGAAATCTTTTGGAAAATTTCTTTTCAAGGAACAAAAATAATTTTAACAGCAGGCACTGATGTTGAAGAGGAGAAGAATGAGAGAAAAAAAACATCTACACTCATTTGACAGTGCAGAACAAGTAACGAAGGGATACATACGGAATAAGAAGTTTGTTATCAGTCCTTAAATAATGCATGTGCATGACTCATAGAGACACAAACTTGTAGTTCTCCTCATGCTTGAATGTTTAAGAAAACTCAAAAATTGAGTTTCAGCTCAAGCCTTTTTTCTTGCCACCAGCATGAGGCAGTAATGACTGCAGAAATGGATTCACTTGAATTGCCGTAGTGTGCAAGATGGAAACTGAGGCCAGAACAAATAAAATTTCACGAGTACTCTCATTTAGAACCACTTTTCTATCCACTGAGAAACTAAGAGTGGTTTCTGTAAGAACAACCATCCCATCCCATCATCCCAGGCAAGCTCTGGCAGCACTCATGCAGCTTTGTGCTCCCGGCTGGGAACCAGAGCCCCCGGTCACACTCAGCCCTGCTGCTGCAGCTGCTCCAGCTGCTCAGAGAGCAGGGACCTATGCCTGTGTTAGCAGGGGGAATCCTCCCCGCTGCTCATTGAGGAAAGGCAAATCCTACTCACAGTGCGTACAAGGAAGGAAAGAGGTACACAGCAACTCGTTCTTGACAGCAGCTCGTTTTACAGATTTTTCTGATGCTTACTGTCTAATTCCAACCACTATTAAGTAAGTCCAAATCACTATTTGCTTAAAAGAGCGCTTTTATAGCGAAGTTTCAATCATAAAGAACAGCACACAGTATCTGTTTTCCAGAGCAACAGAGGAAAATGCCTTTAGCTCTGCATTTCTTGGAGGAGTTCCTTGCCTGCTGTTGTGGCAGCAGCTGGCAGGAGACACGGGGTATGACAGAGCTGGACAAAGCCTTGCTTGTGCTGCGGATCGTGGTATAGCTGTGCTGGCCCAGAACACCCATAGCAGCCAGTGCTGTGCTGACATTCACCTTCCCTTTCTGCCCCATGCCTCTGGCACGGGCTTAGCAAAGCAGGCCAGTCCATTCAACTTCCCTCCATCTCAGGAGAGCTGCAGAGGCAATCTGACATTCTTACTTTCACAGGTATGACTTCTGCTGCCTTCAGCACAAAGGGGTTAAAACGAAACACAGAGCTGACAGAAGCTGGTTGTGTGGGACCAATCCCACAAGTGTCATGCCACCATAACACCAGCAGTGTGCTGAGGTACGGACACCATTTCCAAATGCACACACGATGACTGCTAACAAGCTGCAATAGGGACCTGCAGCACATCACATCACATTCTACTTCCCAGCCTGCTCACCTTGCCCAGCTTCCTTTTTGTTCCACACAGGTGGCATCTGACACTTCAGAAATGCCTTAGGGAAGGCTGGCAGGAGGAGGGGAAGCACCAGAGGGTGATGATGAGGTGCAGCTGACAATGCACTCCGCACATCTGCCTCGCACTTCCTGGCAGCATCAGCTGCACAAAGAGCAGAAGAAAGCAGCTTTTGAAGGATGCCCCAACCCAGGGATGGATGGCTTGCCATGGGACAAGTCAGGGACCAAGCACTGCACTGAGCCAAGTGACTTTGCACCAAGGTTGCTTCTCTGAGCTGGTTCAGATGGATGGGTAAAGCCCACACAGCTTTTATTTGTTCCACAGCATAGCCGCATAAGGGACAAAGACTCTTCACAGCCACAGAGGCAGGTGGCCCCTGGACATGAGGTGCTCCACAGCCACTAGCTGCCCTTCCCTTCATGGCCAGGGGACAGCAGGGCCCAAAACCTCACCTACACAGATCTGCCCTATGGGAACAGCAGGCAATCTCACAGCACACAGCCTGTAAGGCACACGTCGTGATCCCACACAGTAACATTCAGCTCTGGCCCAGCTTAGCATTGTCCCTCTGTGCCTGGGTGGACGTGACACTGTCAGACTGCCTGCCAACAATGCCTGCTACGTTACAGGCATATCTGATTATCCCATTCTACGTGCAACATTCCTCTTTGCTTAAGGAAGAGTTTTGAGTAACTCTAAAGCTCATGAGAAAGCGTGTGACTTATTTTTGGGACCCCAAGATGACATGAGTAAGTCAGAAAACATCAGTTTCTCATCACAGAGAGCTATTAAAATACCAAACAGCCATGCTCATAACTAAGGGAAATGCTGAGCTCTGACCCAACTAAAGCTGATAAGTAATTTCATTTTTCCTGCCATCCTCTTGAAATACTTAATAAGCATGCTGCATCTGACACTGAAAGTATATCTCTAGAAAAATGACATGAGAGCTAAATTCTAGGCCATTTCATTTTAGAAAGAGGAAAAAAAATACAGCTTGTACTAAGCGGCTATAATTTTCAAAACCAAAGCTTCCCTTTGTCCTAGATTTTTTACTTTTATTTTCTATTTTTAAAAGTCAACCCAATGTATTCCTTGGGAACACTTTTTTTTTTTCTTTTCCCCCCAAAAGCAGCAAATCAGAACAGAAGAGCCCAAACAGCTCAAAATCATTCTCAGAGCAAATGACAGCTGAATGAAAAAAAGGCTACTGTTTTTCTGTGCTAGATTCCAGAAGAGATACTGATCTGGATCCTCAGCTGACACAAATAACACAGCTCTACTGATGCCAAAGGCTGGTAACTTAGTCCAGCTCAGGCCCATTTCATCCTCAGATAGTTCTATATCCACTCTGATAGAAAGATTTGCTGCAAAGCTGAAAACAGTGCTAAGAGAATTCATGCTATATCAAATGCAAGCAACTTCATTAAAGATGCAAGGAAAGTAACCTCCCTTATCCATATTAGCAAAAAAAAAACCCACTTTCTTAAATGAGGATAGAATGCAATTATTATTATGTAATAATTATCTAAACAAAAGGAAGAATCTTCTTTTAGTCTGCTAATAGAGAAGTCCTTTTTCAACCCCTATGAAAATTGCCATTTTGACCAAGTTGGTCTCTGTGTTCAATCCCACATGGCACTTCAGAGTCAAGGAATGGAGAAACTATTAAAAGGGTAAAAAAGAACGCTCTAAGAACTCTGTAGCAGTAGTTCATTTTCTTCCAGTACAATGCCAAATATACACAGACACTAAGTAAGCCATGACAAACCCATCAATGCTGGGGTCACATTTTCAGGAGCAGAAGTCACACACTACTTTACACAGGCCATGCTGTAAGAGTCCATCGGGCTGACCCTGCACCACCGTAGTCCTCAGTGCCCCCTGCTGGGTGACCCCTTGAGATGGGACAAGGAGCATGTTTAACAGCACTTCAGGTCACCCGCCAGGCTTAAGAGCTTGCTATCTGCAAACAGGAATGAATTCCTGGCAAATATTCTGAACGTTAATGATTCTCCGTGTCACACAGACCACAGCAGGCTTCATTAGAATGCTGGCGTTGGACCAAGCGCCATCGGCCCCCGTGCCAGGCGTGCCTCATTTTGGACCGCTCGCACCATGTCCTCTTTCCCTCGTGGTTTCTTACATGGGATCAGAAGTATCTCTGTTTCCTCAGTAAGATGATAGAAACATGATTCCACACAAAACAGAAGATGAAATAAATAGCTACTTTACATTAACTGCTTCAAGTCTTCGGTTGCTACAACTCCTAACCCCGCTCCCCAGCAGTCCTTACAGCAGGTCACCAAAACGGATCAAAGACAGATCCCTGGGTAGGCCCACAGCCTTCAAAAGCCTTAAGTCAGCCCCTCAAAATCCTGCTGCCCAGCTCTACAGAAGCAGGACACACTTCTTGGCCTGTTGACAAAGATCATTTGCAACATGCAAGCCTACAAAATTTGGGCCCCAAACAATAAATTTATAAACCAGGAGAGCAGTCATTTAAGTGAAGGAAGAGCATCGCTTAGATTAACCCCAATACGTGCCAGCTGGAGCTAAACTGGAACACAGCACCAACCATCGCCTCCTGCAATGCTGAGAAAAAAATCAATTTCCAATGACTGCTACCAAGATTTTGCAGTCAGACATCTAGCTGGCATACATTTTTAGTAACAAAAGCAGCCAAGGTTCTCGCAGGCTAGAATCAGCATGCCCTAGTAGAATGCTTCTGAGACACAGACATGAAATGACCCCACTGACCAGTTAGGCACTACTCCCAGAAGTAATCATAGAACGGTTTGGGCTGGAAGGGACCTTTAAGATCACCTAGTTCCAACCCCCTGCTATAGGCAGAGACACCTCCACCTGACCAGGTTACTCAAAGCCCATCCAGCCTGGCCTTGAACAACTCTAGGGAGGGGGCGTCCATAATCTCACCAGGCAACCCATTCCAATGTCTCACCACCCTCACAGTAAAAAATTTCTTCCTAATATCTAGTCTAAACCTACCCTCTAAATGCTGGTACTAAAAGCAAAAGCATTACAAATTCTTCAAAAAGGCCCTACCTGGAGATCCATAATGTAAACCTATAGCAAAAGAAGGAGCTACAAAGGGATGTTATTCTTCAGTGCCTTGATAGTGATACACACATCCAGCAACACATTCAACTAGAATACAGTCAAACAGTCGTAAGAAAAATTTGCTTCAAAACTTTATACATTTGAAAAATTCTAACTGTGATATGAAAAACATGCTCCACAGTCCACGTAAATTCTTCTCCTGTAGCCTTAAGAACATGAGCTGATGCTATGTTCCTACATTTCTAACTCAGCAAATTTTTTTTCCGCCACCTTTTGTCTGTTTGACATAAACAAAATACATAAACAAAAGTGTGTTTCCTAATTGCTGTAGTATAGGGCTGTTTTGTTTTTATTCCTTTCTAAAAACTAGCACGGCTAGAATTATTCAACAAGGAATTACCTGATAAATCCTATTAACATACACGGCCTTTACCGGAGAAAGTAACCCGATTAACACTAGGAACTAATGATGCAAGTTAAGACAATGGGAAAATCAACACCTCTACAATCTATACCCCATTTAAAGAAAACATTTACAGGACATATCTATTCACAACTTTGTTTGGGAAGACTCTCAGCAACCAAACTCTTATATTTTTTCTTCACGTTTCCATTAAAAAAAAAAAAAGTATGACTGCTTCCTCTGTACAACATTTGGGATCCGAATGAGGCAGCACTGTTTAAAGCTTAAAAGGTTAAACTACTTGCACTGACCAAAGAAGATAGCATCAAATAAAAATTGTATATATTATATATACAAATAATATCTAGAATATATAATAATAATAATAATAAATGAAATGAAAATAAGTCTTTTACTGGCTTTTGTAGTATCCTACTTTTTTCTGTCTTTGCTTCTCAAAATCTCTTTTAGAGTCTAGTACTAAGCACTACTGACACATAAAATTACAGCAGTAACAAAGATAAGCAAACTTTTCCCCAAAGCAGTAATTGAATATTTGTCAGGAGTTACTGCTTGACCTATATAGACATCTATTTTGCAGCAACTGTGTAATTCAAGCAAGGTTCAAGCACAAATAATATTAAACTGGCCATGCTGCCCTCATGCAATAATTGCACATGGATGAGCTGTCATTTTAAATCTGACTGAAAATAACTGTAGACACCTTAACTGAAGAGAGGAAAAAAAAAAATCACTTCTTCATGATAAAGCCAATTACTGAGCAGCAGGGATCCATCTCATCACCAGTTCATCCATTCAGTCTGGTTGCTGTTAAATACATGCAAAAGAAGAACTGCATTTAAAGTAGCTTAATCAGCTTCGAGGATACCAAACCTACTGGGGCAAATTCATCACACTTTTTTCCTAGTTTCAGGAAAGACACTTTAAACATGTAATTTTGCTTTCAGGAATAAATGTTTCTTCAGTATTAAAAAAAAAAAGGGCATTTGCCTTCTTGCATAAAGGGTTTCATTTTTTTAAGGAGAATCGCATATACATCAAGGGCTTAATGACTAAATTGGAGTCAAACAGCCTGCAGGACATGCTAATGGCTTTCCCAACAACCCCACATCCTGACCTCTCCAAACTGGTTTGAGCTCCAGCATTGAAAAAAATAGCAGCATGGTATTTCAGTGATTTTGCAAGCAGACATAACTGGTCTAACTATTTAATGCAGGCTATAAAGTGAATTATTTCTAAATAAATGTTCTCAGAATACTTTGGAACTGACAGTACACTCAGATCAGCAGTATTTCCACAAGGAGAACAAAATGTGAGCTCCCAGAAGGGAGGACAGAGTACTTTTTCTTCTTCTGTTTACAGAAGTTGCTTTGGTGCCTTTGAAAACATCTCCCATTCCCAGAAGCCATCACTGTGCTGAGTCCAGGCAATGCAGCTTCTGGAACTTACAGATCTGGGGCCAATTTGCAGGACTGAGTGGGAGGGGGACAGAGCTCCTCTAGCAGGCAATGCAGAATGAGAGCCTGGAAATGAGCTCCAGGGCCTCTCCACTTTCAATTACGAAAATACTTTACACTTACACAAAGCAGATGATTACAAATGGCATTTATATGATCTTCCAAAAAGTATTTATTAAAAATCCCAGACAGTAGGTTAAAGAAACTTCTGAAGATATTAAGCAATGTAAAGGCTGGAACCTAAGACCCAAATGAGACACTAACAGAAAGGAAACTAAGCGGGTCCTCTCATTAATATGTTTAAGTAAGCCCACTTGGTAAAACCTTTGTTTTCAGCCAGCTTGGAGCCAGACCAAACATGGTCTGTTTGGAATTGGATTCCAAATTGGAGCTGACTTCACAGGCAGAGGCAAACCACATCCGGATATGCCAGGTGAGCAAACTGGCTGAAAAGTCACTGTGCCACTCTACATTTAGCAGGTATCAATATCCGTACCTGAGTCTTTTTTTTCCTTTTTTTTTTTTTTTTTTTTTAATGAAAATAACATGCACTGCTACTGGAAATGCGCTTGACCCAGACAAAAGGAAGAGAAAGAGAAAAGAAACATAAGAAAGGTTTATCATTCTTTACAAAGAAAGCAGAGGATAAGACACCTCTGTCTACCTAAAAACTCTTACCTGCTGAGGGGCACTTAAATGCAGGATTGTCCTCTGCTGCCAGCACGCTCTGGGGCTTGCAGGCAAACCTCTGCCGCTGCTGCAGCAGGTGCTCTCCAGGCTGCATGGTATCAGCAGGACCCAGCTCACCAGGCTGAGTGTCTCCCGCTCTCTCTGGGGAGCACGGGGGAACATCGAGGGGCCCTAATGCCCGCCCCAGGTCCCGGACAGGCAGGCTTCTGCAGCAGCCTGCAGGGCAGTCCACAGTGACAGAGTTATGGGCAGCAGGATGGAGGACTCTCAGGACATCTGGCTCATCATCTTCAGGGATGGGGTTATACCATATTTCTCCTTCATCATCTGCATCGTTGTCTTCACCAAAGTCAAAGGCACGGCGCCGCAGCGCAGCAGAGCCTGTGGCGTTCGGAAGGGCGCTCGCAGCACCACAGCGCAGGATGGGGCCCTCTGGCCCTCCTGGGGACCTGGCAGGAGCCCCCCGCACCCTTGGTGAGGGCAGCAGGCTGGGGGACCGTGGGGCCTGGGTGACAGCCCCTGGTGTCTTCTTACACGTGCTTTCTCCCTCCAGGCGGGGGGCTCGGTGGGTGCTCTGGTGCAGCCAGTTGCGCTTCTTAGAAACAGTGATGCTGTTCATCTGTGGCCGGTGCTCGGGGAGCTCGCTTCCCTTCGGAGACTTGGGCTCCTTCCTGCTCCGCGGGGCTACGTATACGTTTTCTATTAGGTCTGCTGTTAGAAAGGGAGAGAGAGAAGGAGAGACAAACGCTCAGAATATCACATTGCTTTTAGCAGGACAGATGAAGACATGCAGCATCGTATCACATTTGCCTTAGACCTCATTCGAAAGGACAAAAGACAAGGTGATGCTATCATCAAATTACACGTCAGCCTGCCAAAGCAGAACATGTGTGTAATTAATGAAAAGTCAGGTTTGTTGGGCTGTATTTTAACACCGTGTAATTTAGGTAAATGGCAGTGAGAGCTCTGTATAAAGGTCATGCCGACTTAGGCAGCTTAGGCAGAAAAGGATCTTTTTGCTCTGGTAATTTTGTGTGTGCAGTGGGTTTGTTATCTGTTGTTCCTACACTGTATTTACAATGTAGATTTAGGTAGAAAACAAAGGTGGGGATCTGTCTGGCTCAGAAGCCTCCAGCAAGGACTGTCCTTACTGCTGTACCCTGTGCTCAGAGCAGGATTTAAGTAGGAAACAAAGGTGGGGATCTATCTGGCTCAGAAGCCTCCAGCAAGGACTGTCCTTACTGCCATACACTTTGCCCAGGGCATGAACAACCCTTGGTTCATGAGGACAAAAAGAAGAGAGAAAGAATACATCATTTTACAACAAAATTTTCATTTAACAACAAATCAAACTCTATACACAACTTCAAACTCGATACAACTGCACTACAGCAAAGCTAACCTGTAATGGTGTTCTACAGGCAGGGTGCTTCTACCCTGATTTCCCCAAAGCTCCCTTCTCCATGGAGCTGAGGAATAGCTCCTACACCAGTACAAACATGCACCATCTGTATGCCCACTGACAGCAACACCTGCCGCTCCTCGCACTGCCAGGGACATAGAGGCCCTCTGCAGGGCTGCCAACTCACAGCCCCCAACCCACAGACCCTGAGACACACTCAAAGTCACCGTGCGCTGGGCAGTGCCGTGCTGTGGTGCTCTCAGTGCACACCTGGGCAGCTCCGCACTGCGCTACCTACATGAGCCTCCTGCAGGAACAGTGGCCGGCAGCAGCTGCAGAGCACTGCAATAACCTCCTGCTTGCAGGGGCACGCCACAGCCGTGCTCGCACACAGCTCTCCACTCTCAGTCTCCGAATCAGCCAGCTCTGCCAAAAGCCATTGATTGCAAACGCTCACTGAATCCCATCCAAATGATACACTTGCATTTAGGTTTTCCAAGCATAGCTCTCGCAATCCAGGGCTGTGTTTGCAAGCGCTGCTTCCCCTTTATTCCAGTTTGGCCCCAATCCTGAAAGTCTTTCTGTGGGTGTTTATTTTAATAACAACTGTTTCACATGCAAGTATCTGAGCACCCTGCAGCTCCACAGAGCACAGCAACTCCCAAACGTCAACAGCTGTTATAGTAACCAGAAATTCAAATAAATAGGAAGCTTAAGGAGCTATAGGGGTGACGAATATGCTCTCTGCTCCAGAGCAAAGCTTCATTCAGCACAACGCCATTGGCTCTGTTCAGCGCAATCAGTGCATTCCCAGAGGCAGACCCTGCACAACACGGAATGAGGCACTGCTCCCCAAAAGGCTTCTGCACAGCGTTGGGGTTAACAAACAAAAGGGCAGACAAACCAGCAGGTGCTCAACTCACCTCCCACTCCATCTACAAAAGGTCAAATAAATCACTAAAGTTAAAATACAGCGCCTCCAGAGCCCCAGATGCAGTGCTTCAGCTCAGCTGAGGTCAGGACAAATCCCGTGCCTATTACGTACACATATCAAACATCTCATCCCAACGCCAGGCGCTGTTTTTCTGGTCACAACGCAGAGGGAACGGCCTTCCCAGTCCCACCGCACGGGGTCCAGCAGAACGCACAGCTCCGGGGCTGCAGCAGCCACCCGCTCCCTGCCCAATCCGCACACCGCCCGGCACGCAGCGGGGCTGTACCGCGGCGGGACGGCAGCGCGGCCAAAGCACGGTCCGTAAGCATCAAACTGTGTAAAAAAAACAGGGAGGAAACAAAAGCGAGAGAATGACAAACGGTCATGAGGCGAAGAGCAGCGAACGGCCGCGTGATGAGCCGCACGGGGCAGCGGTCTGACAGCGAGGGCCTCTCGTGGAAAGGGGGAATTCTGTCCTGAGAAGGATGAGCGACGCTGTGAAAACGCGCCCGCGGAGGGCCGATTCTCGACCTACGTTGGAACTTGCAGAACAGCGCAACTTTTGCTCGAAACAAACGCGAAGTCTTCGCAAACTCTGGAAAAAAGGCACTTCCTAAGCCGGCGCAGTCCGCTCCCCGCACCGACCCGCGCGGCACGGCCGCCCCGTCCGCCTCGGGGTTCCCTTTTCGTTACTTGCGGTCCCCGCCGCCCGCCGGCACCGCGCCGATCCGCGCCGCGTACACGGCCCGGGCAGACGCGGCACGGAGCGCCGCCAACAGCCCCGCGGAGCGGCGCGGAGCTCGGAGCGCCGAGAAACTCGCTTCGCCACTATTTTCTCGGAGAAGCGCCGCGCCAGCGCCTCGCGCCCCTCCTCTTCCCCTTCCGAGGGGGACCGACCCCGCGCTCCGCTCCGCACGTGGGAGCGCTCCGTCGGCAGACGCGGCCCCCGGCGCCCCGCGGCAGACGGGCTCTTACCCTGCGGCCCGCAGCCCCCGCCGTGCCGGTGCGCGCCGCCCGCCGCCGCCCCGCGCGGGGACCTCCTGCCGCGCAGCTTGGAGAGCGTCCTGCGCAGCGGCTCGGCCATGCCTGGGCGCTCAGCGGGCGGCGGCCCCCCGGCACGGCGGGAGCTGCCCCATGGCGGCGTGCCTCCCCGCGCCCGGCTGCCGCCGCGCCGCCGCCGCGCACATACTTGGCATAGCTGCGCGGGGCGAGAGGCCGCCCCGCAGTGCGCATGCCCCCGCCGCCCCATCGCCGCTCCCCGACGGGGGCCGGTGCCGCGCCGCCCCGGGCGCTGGGACCGCCTCGGCAGCAGCTCAAGGAGAGCCGTCGCCGCCGCACCCGGTGCCCGCCCCGCTGCCCGCCCCGATGCCGGCGAAGCGCCGAACGGTGCGGCATAGCGGGCCGCGGGGAGCGCTGCCCAGGGTCTGGGGAAAACAGTTTGCGAGCACGACACGTGTTCGCGGATTTTGTCCCTTAGCAAAGTCGGAAGGAAGGGCTGTCCCGAGAAACTTTGGATGCGCCCAGCCCTGGAGTGCTTAAGGGCAGGCTGAGGGGGCCCTAGGCAGCCCCAGCTGGAAGCAGTGTCCCTGCTGTGGCAGGGTTTGGAGTCGAGTGAGCTTTAAGGGCCCTACCACCCCCAGCCATTCTATAGTTATAGGATTTAATGGCAGTTGAAGTCAAATTTTCCTAAAGAAAAAAAATGATTCAAATTTCGAGTCATGACACCCCGAGGCCCAGCAGCAGTGATCCCATCCCATACATGTGCAGCACAGGAGAACTCTGGAGATCCCTCTGACCTCAGTCCCGCAATTGCAGAACCACAAAGGTGTGAAGGCACGTTTAGGGCTATGACCCAGTTCTTCCTCTGGCCCATTCTCCCACGTGTCTTGCCTGTGGAAACAAAAATTCAGCATCACTGTTCTTTTTCTATGCAGCCTCGCACAGTATTTTCCTCGTGTTCCATATGGTTTAGATGTTAGTTTAAACATTTCCATGATTCCTCTCTGCAGTAGGCACACAGGAAATGGCCCAGGGAAAAGCTGCCAACGGTTGGGTCTATAAACACAGTTTGATCCATATCTTTGAAAATTGTTTCCATTCCAAGCAATGGTTACAAAGCACTTTTTCTTGTTGGCAGCTAGATTTTTTTTTTTTTTAATCCCTATGCATCCTGTATTTGCCCAACAGAGGTGGCATTGATCTCTCTCTCTCTCTCTCTCTCTCTCTCTCTCACACACACACACACACACACACACACACACACACACACACACACACACCCACCCACCCACCCACCCACCCCCACCAAAAACAAAACAAAACAAAAAAAATCTGGCTGGAACTCACTTGAGCCAGTGCAGCAGGAGTCAAAGCCCAGCTTTTGTTTCCAGCTCAGCCCATTCTGTTCAGGAGCTGCAGAGCACACAGTGCAGAACGTGATTTGCTTCAGCAGGCCCTGTACAGAATGTAAAAGTGACTTCAGTGGGATGGGAACAAAGCTTGCACCGACTTGAAGAGTTCTCACTGGGACACTGACAAACGTTCGGGACTGGTTAAATACAGTGTGACTATAAACAAATAGGCTGCATTTTTCTGTACATGAAAAACGTTTTTAACAGTTAGGTTTTTTTTTTTTTCCATCATCAGACCAAGATTTTGCTAATCAATAAAATCTCCGAGCACTCCAGTTACTGAAAACGTCTGCCTTCCTGACATCCAAATGCACCGAAGCAGCAGTTCCATGGAACCTTATTGGCCCCTCCTGCTGCTAATGGCAGCACGCATTGTCCCATCCTGCAGAGCAGCCGATCTTCGCGTGCAGACACCACTCTAGCCATCCACATCTTTGTTATCCCCAGACCTATTCTTGATCAGCCAGATGAGGCACCCCAGTGGCTCCCAGGTTTGGAATACAGCTGTTTATCTTCTTACAAGGACAAACCAGGACACTAATTCATTTATATTCTAGACCCGAGTACCTGCTAGACTAGAGGCCAGACAAAACCAAAGATGTTCATTACCAGACTGGCTCCACCACTGACTCCCTGGTCTCTGGCCCCATTTGAAGTTGGAGGTGCACTATATAAAAGCAAATTTTAGACTTCTAGAGCAGCCAAGTGTTTTGCTCAGACCAGCGACTCTCTCCTCAAGCACATCCTTGCCAAAAATCTCCTTAATCTAAAAATGCATTAAGAGGCATTGCTGTTGAGATCTCATACCCAGCACAGGTTTTGGCTGGCAGCCACCAACTGCTGAATGCTCCCAGGAACACAAGGTCTGCCAGCCCACCCTGTGATGCTCCTGTACCGCCAGCAGTCTGCTTGCCCTGTTAAGCTAAATTTAAAATTAAACAGGAAAGAAATAAGAAATGATTCAAATAAGTAGCATGATGGAAATATTTCAGTTCATAGCTGAATTATGCAGCTGGAATATTCATGGCTCTGCCTTCTGCACTTTATTCAAACAAAAATGCATCAGAAGTTCAAGCTCTTTTTTGTATCCTGCACTTATTTCTTTAAGATGATGTTTGTCTTTTTAGGAAATGTGCTAACCTCCCAATGAGCTTTTCAAAGCGTGTCACTGAACTTCAGAACTGTCATTACCACCCCTGCAATCTTACAGCATGAGAGTGCTATTGCAGGATGCCAGTCTCCCTGAAGATATGCTAAAAATACCAAAGTATTTTGGCTAACAGGAAGCCAAGGCATCACCCACACAGTAAAAATAGTAGGCGTAATGACCATCATCACCACAGCCTTCTCCTAACATGGAGACAAAACCAACAGATCAGTGACATTCCACATGGGTTGAAATGAATGTTAACAGTGAGGACGAGAACGTCGTACGGACAGGCAAAAGATAAACAAATTCAAGTTTATGCCTTAAACATTAGCAGAGCCTCTCCAAAGCAACTTGAAATACTAAATAACCATTCTCTATTTTATACTATATGCTTCCGGCTGGGACCACATTCGTAAGTCACAAGAAAGCATTTTCCTGCTGGTTCTGCCCCAGAAAGAACAAAATTCTCAGCAGTGTGCTGTCACAAAGTCATTGCCGTTGTTCAGTTTGTCACAGTATTTGTGTACTAGCCCGAATTTAGAAACTCATCTCCTAAGCAGCCATGAAGGTGCCTAGCTGCGTCCTAGAGCAATATCTGTAAACACTGAGCAGGAGCACAGGACAGGTGGGCAGACTCTCAGCACTGCTGAGCACACCTACCATAAATGCTGCTGTGTAGTGTCCTAAAACTGCTGCATCTACAACACGTATTTAATTAGAAGTCCTGTAAAACTTAATAAGTAAGAAAAATATCTTGAATGGTTTCCAGTTAAGACTGGGAGAACACATTTAATGAGCATGTTCTGAGAATTCCCTTTCTCTTGAAGTTCCTTTTTTTCCACTTCTACCATTAGAAATAGTAATTTTTATTCAATCATCAGCCTCAGAACTCTGAATTTCAACTGAGTGAAATGTAAAGGGTCCAAATGTCGTAAAAAGGAAAGCCAGTATTTAAGAAAAGAAGTGGAAATGTCCTTAAATAGGAACACAGATCCTTTTTAAGAATTTTGTATACTTTGTTGTGCTCAAAAATCTGTAGTTATAATCTCCAGTTTTAAGCAACCTTTGCTGTTTCTGTAGGTTTTCACATCTTCAAAATAATTTTATCATTCAAAAAAAAAACCACCTTCATATATTTGCATATGTGATTGTTTCATCATAGCTACTCTGTATGCTGCAAAGCCACAACATGAGAAAGAAAAAAAGAGCCAGAGAAACCCTGTGGAGTTTTATATGTGAACAACTCTTCTGTCTCTACTCTGTGTGTGTAGCAAAGGGAGCAGATAATGTAGCTGGTAGTAAGAAGTGATTACAATGAAGTCTGTGCATGTGTTAGTGCGCTCACACCCAGTTTGTTTGCAGAACAGAAGCACCACTTCAGTAGGGTGACTGAAAACTAGAAAAGTAAATGAACCCTGGGTTTGTTTTTTGGGTTTTTTTTTTTTTTTTTTTTTTAAACTTATTTCTTTGTATCTCCTGGAGCGTACCTACCAAGTGGAACAGAGAAAGATCTGAGTTTCACAGGAGAAAAAAAGCTTTCCTCCTTAGGCCAGCCACAGTGAAGTACATGTTTTGACCTGATGGGCTTTCTTGACTTGTAAAGAGCAATCCAGCAAAGATGAGTACTTCATCCCACTGGCTCAGACAGGGAAATTCCCTCATTTGCAAACCTGCCAGGGTTGCTGCTTACCATCTGCTGACAGCTCGCTCCCAGCTCTCCTTCAGCACTATGATAATACAAAAGGCAGTTGCACAGCAGCTTACGGGGAGGTACTGTGGCCAAGCTTCTTTTAATTGTGTCCCTTATAATGTTTGTTCTTTGGCTTCACCCTTGGAAGACACAACAGAATCCAAGAAAATCGAGGTGAAAAAATACATTTATAATCTAATCTGTGCTCCCTTAATCACAAATCTTGTCTGCTCATGTTCAGGCCAATCTAGTTTTAAGTGTCTCTTACTGACAAGCTAACCAGCCATGCAGTTAGAAGGTATTTGTAAACACACAAACCTGATGTTGGTCAGCTCCTCTGCCAGTCCTGGCTCATAGGACATGTCAGTGTAGCATCTTACCTGTGCTCTGTGCCCCTTCACTGGTCACACTTACAGAAGACTGTCCTGTCCCACCATTTCTAGGCATGGCTTGGTGGGCTATTTTGCATTAAACTTGGCAAAATTTGGCTGACTCAAAGTGCACCACATGACCTGAGCTGTAACAACAGCTCAACGTGCCCCTGCTATGTGCCACAAGCTCTTGCCTCCTGACACCGATGTCAATGGCGGACATGGGCATCGCACTTGGCCCAAACTCACCTCGATGCTTAACTTCTTTGGCTTTCCCCATGGCTGCTACCAAAAACAGCTCCTGAGATGGAAGTGCTGACAGCCACCCTGCCCCTCATTCAAAGCAGCAGGCATCCTATGGCATGAACATATCTGAAATGCCACCTTATCTTCCTTGAGGTGGAGTGTGCATTACAGCATGACATGTCAACAGGCACCACCAGACTGAGGGGCGGCTGTGAAGAAACACAGAGTTATCCCAAAAGCAGCAACCAGGAGGGGAAAATAGGTGTCAGTGATTGTTTCATGAAAAGCATTTACGGAAAAGGTGGTATGTAGGAATTATCTAAAATCACATAGTAATTACATAGTATATTAAATCTATACTGAATAAGCCTTGTTAAGCCTGTGGTTAGGAGGTGGTGGTCACCATCAGGCAGCAGTGCACACATGTATGGCAATATAGCTTACATCTGATCACACTCTTCTAAAATGTGTTGCATAGAAAGGGGTGTATGTGACTTCTACTTGTGGCTGTGCTGTGAAGCCCATGGCATGGCTCTGTGCAGGATCTTTTCCCACCCTGCACTGCTCATGGCAGTCCTGCAGGAGGAGGTGGCAATGGCACACTGACTGCCGGACCATCCTGCATGGCTCCCTCCCACATTCCAAGAACATTACCAGGGCAATAAAATAGATATTTAAATGTAATCTAATCTGTCAAATAATTTTAAAACAATTTGTTTTGAAATATTTTCTGAGTGGGAGCAGAAAGTCTACGCATCTCAGGTAATTTCAAGTACACAGGAAGGCTTCTGTGCTTCCTGTAGCTGGCCCGCACAGTGAGGGTACTCGTTGGAGGAGGTTTGGTATTGAGAAGTGTGAGCTATTGAAAACATTCAAAATATTTACATTCTTTAGTGGATAGAAGCACTACTTTATCCTAATCTCCTCTCTAATTGCTCCCGTCTCCAGCCATGGCACAGCCTCACCTGGTAACCCCTGCAGCTCCACAGCACAGAACAGCAGCCGTTCTGACAATGAATAGTTACCAGATTACATCCATACTGCATATTAGATTATTCCTTATTTAATCTTCCTCCAACCTCTCTTCTTATCACAAAAGCCTTGTTGCCTAAATCCCATATTCTTCTGCAGAATAAAGACCTAGCAATACATAAAAGTCCATGAATATAAAATTAGACTTCCGAGCTTTTTATGTTTATCTGTATGATCTGAAAATGTTTGATCTTGTTTTTTAATCTGTTATTGGGCAGGTTTAACTTTGTCTGTTTCCAAGCACTGGTTTTATGCACTGAAACATCATGTGCAAGGTCATTTTCAGTGTTCTCCTAGCTTTGCCAAATTCCCCTGTTTATATAGAAAAGAAGCAAAGCTAAACAGGATATGTAAGTATAAAAACAGAATTTGCATGGGAGGGACAAGGACAGAGGGAAGTCTGAAACTAAAATTACTCTAACTCGCTTTTTTAAATGATGTCTCCAAGGTGACAGAAAGCCCTTCATTGTGAGGTTTCTCATTTGTCTTGAACAGTTGCCAGGGTTTTGATCTCATTTTTACTTTTGAAGACCTGAAGTTACCTCCTTTCTCCTCAAAATAAAAACCACCAACCAAACACAACAAAACAGATTTCAACCACATAGAGGCTTCTATCTTCATGAACAACAACAAAGAAAGCTCAGGTCCCACTTCAAAAGCTGCCAGTTTTGGCATCATTTGAAATAGGACTCTAGCCAGCACGTGTGCTGTCTATCAGGTATCACGGCTACGGTACCTGCTCAGACCCCACTACATCAGCAGCCCCCTGAGCTGCAGTGCTGCAGGTCAGCGCCTGCAGGCCTGGAAACGTTGGAACGGGAAACGCTGGAAAAGGAAACGTTGGCTACACACACAGTCACACGCACACTCCACCCCAACACCAACAACGCATTTCAGCCATGCTGCTGGAGCACTACAGGTGGCACCTCACCAACTACAGCTTCAGCACATCAAAACCATTCACACCGTGTGTTTGGATTCAAAGCTCTCTTTGCCATAGTACATGGTTCCTCTTCAATCACAAAAATGATGAGGTTCACTTTCTTCCGGCTTCTTCCTACCTACATCCTGCTCTCGCAGAGAACACTCTAAAAACCTGATTTAGAGCCACCTTCCCCTTCTGCTTGTCTTCTGAAACACAGCAAATGAATCAGTGCTCTAAACCTGTCCTGTAAACCTCATTTTCCTTTCTGCACAGCAATGAGGGCCCTTAGGTATTCACCTGCTCTACCCAAACAACCTCAGAGAACTATATTCCCACCTTTTCCTCTTTTATCTCTCTCTTTACTTCCTTATCCTCACTTACTAAGTCACATCTGAGTTGCTGACCACTTCTGGGATAAGTACCAGGACAGAGTTCCACAGAGGACTTACTTGCTCAGAGTAGGGCCACCCCAGCTCTAGACCTCAGGCACACTACACATTTCTTTGGCCCTAGAAGGGCTCAGCTAGGGATGCTGCCCACACCCTGGGTTCTGTCACTGCAGAGCAGCATAGGCTGTCCATCCCGCTGCCAGCTCTAGGTGCAAGCTGCAGTGCTGCCTGTTCCCCCAGGATTGGACAGGGTCTTCTGACCCCTTCATCAGGACAAGCTGTGCTTCTGCTACAGGAGGCAGCTACAGTGCGGTTATCAGTAGTCATGACAGCCAGTTAGTTTAAGTGGTTTAATGACCAGTGTCAGAATGGACACAGGCTTACAACAGCTGATCACTTTGATTCAGTGTGCACATGCAGAAGTGTTGTCACACTGGCTGTCCTGAGAAGTACAACAGCTGGAAGTGAAAGACTGCTTACCGAGAGGCACATCCTTTGCTTCTGACAGACACGAGCCCACGACTTCTACCACTCAGTGCCACAACTGCTTAAGTGAGACACAGATGGATGAAGAATCTGTTGCTTCCAGACACTGGGGTCTCTTAAAGGACCAGTTGGTTCTCAGTTTTCACCATTAAGAAGTCATCAAACTGTAGTCATTAGAGACAGGACATTGCTGCCAGGCAAGACAGTCAGCATACAAGTAAGGATTGACTTCTTGTTTACAGTCAGAAGCAGAAGCAGCAATGACTCCAGTTGCTGCTGTGTGACTCCTGCTTGTATTCTGCAAGAGACTGAAATAGAGTGCACCAAGCAGAGGATGCTAATGCACCACTTTCCCCATCTGTCTACTGTCTCAGATAACAAAATATATCAGGTCTCTCTGCTTCAGTAATGCCAGGTACTCCCCCAGAAACCTCTTGACAAATTCATTGTCATTTGCCAAGTCACGCCAGCAAGAAGTATTTAGGAAGCTTACCAGGAAAGGCACACAACGCATCAAATAAAAGATGAGTGATGGATTCTTACCTGTCTGATTCCACTTTAAAGCAAGGAGTGCTAGGTGATTTGTCTAACAAGGACACTGAATGTGGCCTCTGTATTTCTGTATCAAAAATACCTCCATTCTCTGCTTGGAAATAGGAGACACAAAAGGGAAGCTCCAAAGGTCAGCAGGGGTGAGCCTCCCAGTAACCATACAACCACAATAATGAAAAACTGTGTATCTCAGGCACTTTTAGGATGTCTATCATGCTGGCTTGTACTCTCCCTGCCAGATTTGCATACAAAATTGATATTTTGGAAAAACACTCACAAATGTTACCTGAAATAGTTTTTCTTTGCCTGCCAGCAAAGAGCATCTGGAAACAATCAATCTCTCTCTTCACCTTGCCGATATATCCTCAGGGAGAAATTCATCTTTTAAGACAACTGCATGGCAAAGAAAAAGTTTTTGCAAGCTTGCTAGATTCAAGCTTGCTACAAGTTTGCCTGAGAAGAAAGCACTGGGAGGGGAAAGGGAACCATTCCCTTGTGTAATAAAATACAAATCACTTTCCTTACTCTACTGTTAGATGTGTAACAAGGCTTCAGCCACTATCACAGAACAGGTGCTCAGTGCCATAGCCCTGTCAGTGAGTTTACATATCATTTGCTCCATATACAGCTGGTTTTCCATGGCCTGTAGTGGGATGCACACATAACTAAGCTTCAAATATGCATATAAACTGCTGCAGCAATGAATGGCACATCTAAGGAGAAATGCTACTAGACTGGGTACAATGAATAAGCAAGGATAAGTGCTTAAACTTACTAAAGTTTTCACTCTCCATCAACCCCCATGCTTAACATATGAACCACTAATAGGAAAAAAGAAAACACAAGAACAACAAGGCAAGAAAAAAGCTAAGTTTAGAAGGCAGTATTGGCACACTACCAAAAGCATAAAACTTGGACCCAATCTGAATACAGTTGCATTTGTCCCAGCAAGGTTTATTTTGGGCAGTGAGGTGTGTCCTGCAGATGCTGCTGCCCACACAGCAGGCTGTGGCAACAGGAGCTTTCTGGCTGGGGTTAGTAGTGCACTTTTGAGGTGACTCTCCCCATTGCCTTGGCAGCATGTGCTTTGGTTTTCAGAGTGCATCAGCTGCATCCCTTCTGGATGAAGCCCAAAGCACTCCAGGAGTGTCTTTAATGCACTCCAGCTGTGGCTGGTTGGTGGGCAAAGCAGAGTTAGTCTGCGGTGTTCTTTCACATTACAGACAATCTCTTACTGTGCCAAATGACTTACTAATGTAAATGTAGCCACAGATTGAAAAGCATCCTGTAGCATGGTATCAGAAATAGAATTAGAGTGGTTATACCACATATAGCTTCCCAACAACCCTATAGCATTGATTAGGAGAATCAGGAGGACCTGCTCATCCTGCAGTAAGAACAGAAGAGCTGCTTTTTTAACAAATAAAACTCACATGCAATGTAACTGTGGAAAATCAACAGCTTTTCAAGAAGGAATTGACTTTCTGAAAAGAATTAGCAAGTACCAGGAAAGACAGGTTCCCTACAGCTTTTATTTCTGTCCTTAACGCTTGAGTATGATACAAACAGCACCAATGAAAAATGCTATAGAACTAATTCCTAAGTAAATCTATCTGTTACTAAATGTTATAGCTTTTCAGGAGGATTTCTGTGGAGCACTATAAAAATGTGTGGGACATTTGCAGAATGAGAAAAAAAAACGAAACCAAGGTTTGCATAAGATTCCCTGTGTAAAAATGACTGCTTTGTTTGAGGTCCTCCACGTTGCCTGCTGAAGGCTGAATTTCAGAGCACTCAGTGACGCACCTGTATCACATCCAGCAGTAGACCATGTATGCATGGAGCTATAGGAGGTACATTCAACTCATGGTGACCTTTGCCTTTAAGCACATCTCATCACATTAGGTGTTTCCACAGCAAACAAAATAATTAACTTCCAGCTTTGTATGGAGCCAAAAATCCTGTGAAAAATTAAATGAGGTCTTCTAATTAAAAACCTAAACACATACAGTTTGTCAGTTCTTAAGACCTCCATTTCTTGTCTTGTATAATGGCAATTTCTCTTCATTCTTTCTCCAGACTGCAGGAAGAAAAAAGGTTGCTTTTAGGGGCTACTCTGTCAGTAAATTGTAAGACCTACCTGCATTCAGTCCTGGCTACTTATCCAGGTACAACAGCAACACAGTCCTCAGCAGAAGCTTGCTCCAAGGAAATTTAGATACTATGCATTAGTAGGCTGTTTTGACCACAAAAAATGCCCTCAGAAGCTGTATCTTTTGCTAAAATTCTGTCATTGACCTTAGAATCTTTAGTTGACACAGGAATTACATTTTCTTTGGCTATGTTACAACTACAGAACTGAGAAAAACCCGAGATAAATCATGTCTGATAATTCCAAATGTCATCCTCAGCCACTTACACCTGAGCTTATATATAGGAGTCCTCACTCTGTAAATATAAGTCCATAAGCCACAGGGTTACTTCAGTGGGTTTTATGCCTCCCAAAGTGGAAAAGAAAGGTGTTACCTTTCTTGTTCCTCTGCATGTTTGTGCTGACTCCTACCAAATCATTAATCTACTAATTTGACAAAACTTTAAGAGGTGATAGTGTTCACTGCATTGCTGCCTTCCAGGGAAGCACCGTTTTCCAGCAGAGACTCCCATGGGAAATCGGGCAGGTAGACTGGGTGACCTCCATGTGCCAGCCTTATTTCTGCAAGTTCTATGAAGGAAGGAAGAAAAAACAAAAAGGAAAAAAAAGAATGATGTAAAACTTCTGCTTAAAATTCAAGTTACAAACATGCCTGTTTTTCTTTGAAAAGCAAGAAGCTTATGACAGTATGGAAAAATCAGGTGAGTAGAACTTTTAAAAGCCAGTTCTGCCTCACTTTCTTACTTCCATGTAACAGGTCGTCTTTTTTCTTTTCTTCTTTTTCTTTTTTCTTTTTTTAATTAAAATATAGAAAAAGAAAACAATAAAACCTGAAACTAGCAGGTTGGATCTTTGTGGTCTATAGAATAAAGTAGTACTGCTCGTTAAAGCAGCCAGGATGCCAGCAGCTAGCAGAAGCTCCCTCTACTGGATAGGTACCTGAGCCTGCTGCTGGGCAGTGTTGTTTGTTTGGTTTGTTTTGAGGAGAGGATTAACATCCTCTGCTAAGTCCTGTGGTTTCACTTCCTCTCCCCATTACTCTTTCCCAGAGTTACTCTGTGTTAATCCATACACAGGGATGAAGAGGGTGGGAGAAGCTAAGCAAAGGAAAGGGAAATCAGTGTTTGCCCCCAAGAACAGCTCATGCTGTTAGAAGGCAGCAAAGCACAGAGCACTCATGTTGTTGCTCACAGCCACAGCAGAGCAAAGGTGTGATTAATCTTTTGAAGCTATCAAGATGAAAGCATTCTAAAGATGAAGGGCACTTCATCTTCTAAATGAAGAGAGCTGATAAAGGTATTTGATAAGGACCAAAAATGCTTATCTCCATTCACTGAATTCATTGCATTCTTTTGTCAATCCAGCCCACAGGTCCCAGCTTCCCTGAAAATTCCAAATTTTACATAGTGCCCTGAAGAAAATACTTCAAAGGAACCAGCGACAAAACACTGTTCCAATCTGTGGTGCAACTTCCCTTTCCAAGTCCAACTGATCTAAGCCCACATCTACCAAGGACACAAATTCAGCAGACTCCAATGAATACCAAGTTGTTTCCTTTGACCAGTGATACCTCAGGGACTTAAAAGAACTAGCTCACTAGAATCCCCATTCCTCTGTTATTCCCATTATTTCTTGGTTCCTCGTTATAGGACTTAACTAGCTTTGACAAAGAATTCACTGCTACCAAAAGGTTTGTATCAAGAATCATTTACTGAGATTCCCATGTCTCACTGGAAGCTTCCTGAGCAACCAAACCATGGCATTTCTTCTGGTAATTTTCTGTATTTTGCCAACCACTTACTGTACAGAAATGCTGCTTTTGTTTCAGTCTTCAAATTTTGACCAATCCACAGAATGCCTAGCTGCTCTCTGCCTCTCACTGCATCACCTTTTAAGCCTGACCTTAGCCAGAAAACATTGCTGGCAGGATTGGAGTTATATTCTTACTAAGGTGTCTCCCTTTGCTAAGAGATTTTCTAAACATATCCCATTTGGAATTTTAAGGAGTCTGTTTATCTGTAACATTAAGCTGCTACATTCTTTCAATACACTGCTCCATCCCCACATTAAACCTACACCCAAACATCCGTGTCTGTATTAAATTTATTTATATTGAGTGGCCCAAGCTAAAACAAATGGTCACAAGAGCCTTTTAAGCAAAAGAAAACCCAAGTTGTATCCTGCTGGTGAAAGAAAGCATTACACCTTTTCATCCAAATTCTGCCACGATTTTGCAAGATTAGCAAACTGGCAAATGAGCTTCCTGTCATCACTGAAAGTGCAGCCAGCCTCACACAGCTCCCATTTCCTCTCCTTCACTGATTACAGGTTCAAGACAAACGTCTTTGTGGAACACACTGCATTTCACAGGATTCAATTTCACACTGGCAGCCTGAAGCTTATCACAAAGCATTTGTAAATGAATCAGTTCTTCGATAGCGTTAACATGCATGGAGCTTCCGCACAGGGACAACAAGCAGACTAGCAGGGTGATGCCTTGCAGCAATCTCTCCATCAGCACCTCTCAGAGGAAGCATTGCCTGCCATTGGGGCCATTATCTGAAACAGCTGTAGTTTTATACAGACTTGAATTTTTCTTCCCCAGATCATCTTGCCTTTCTTTGAAATCTATATTAGGTAGCTGCTATTATGCCAGCATCTAGAGGCAGCACAATGTGTTCATTGCAAACAAATTGCCTTCCAGCCACCAGTTTTCTACTTTTGACAGATTTTTTTTAGAGAATTCAGATCAAGCACGTAGGAATTTTTATTGCCTTCCCCCCCCTCCCCCCGTTACACATAATGATCATCATTACATTTGATTCATCATAAAAACAGTGCAAGAGATGAGTTAATAGCAGGCTGATTTTCAAAGACAATATTCCACATGTGCAAGTGGAGGTGTATGTTCCCTGTCACTGTCTCCTCTTGAAAGACAATCCAGGACAAACTGTTCTCTAGGCAGACATTTTTGAATTGCGCTATCAGTTTAAGTTTAGTAAGCACTCACTCACGCATTTCCCAGATCCTGTTGCACAGAGGCGGCAAATTTTCATTGTTAGCAGCCCAAACCTCACTTTGCCCTTCAGCTTCTCACCTTTTCTCTTCAATTTCTGAAACAAACTAGAAAAGCTTCTCATTGCTCACTTCTTCACACTTACCTCATCTCTTTTTTTTTAAGCACTGCATCATTACCATTTTCATCCTGTTTTGGGAATCAGCATCACTCCTACTCATCCAAAAAGAGCACTGAGAAGAGCCTCTTTTTCCACTGCATGTGTTGGATGTACTCCTATAATCGCAAGGCTTGCTGTGACATCCTCCCTGGAATATGGACATCTTCGAGGAACCTGAACAGCAGCTGGTAACTTTGCAGCCTCACAGTTCTTTGCATCATTGATACTTCATTTGTAATTCTGATCTGGAAGTCCAACCCCAGATGAGTATTATAATTTAGTTTACCACCATTTTTTCTTAGAAGCATTGTAGGATATCTGAGTAAAACTTTAGTAATCCTCACAAAAATCAGTGAGCTTTCTCTCCTTTTCTTCCTCTCCTGGCTACCAGTGGTGTTCTATCCAACCCAAACAGCCTCTTCATATGAGATACAGATGCCGTGCTTTTCTCCCTCCAGAGCTGAGTACTGCTCAGTAAGTACCACACTATCAAAGTTAGTCACTAGAAACAGAACTCTCAATGCAAGCTTTCTGGGCTGTAGCTCCACAGACTTAACTTCCAAATGCCTCTCATTCTTCTAAATTTCAGAGCCATAATTTGCATTTAGGACCTTAGCCACGCCTGGGAGGTCTGTAGTTCCCTTTACAACTCACTGAGGATACAAAATTTCCTTTAGACAATCTCAGTTACTCAGAAAAAACAGGTTGTCTCTGAGCGCAGAACAATCAGTCCCCTCCCTGCTTTGGGCTTCTTTGCTTCATGAGCAGCAATGCTAGAACTTCCCTAGACTTAAGCACCTCTGCCAATAAAACTTATCCAGCAACAGAATCGGTTCATCTGTGTACCTCCGCTTCAGACAGGCTTTCTCACAGCTTTGTTTCAGATATCCTAAGAAGACAAATAGTCACCTTTGCCATGTATCCTGAATAGAGATGCTGCCATGTTTACAATGAGGTTTCCTTAAGCGCGTAAATTATACAACTAATCATTCTTCTCTCTGATTAGACATGCTGCTTCTTTCCTTGGAAACTGAGTATCTGACAGCGTTAGCTTCAAGACTACTGGGCACCAAATATATTGTATTATCTGAAAACAAAAGGAGTGATTAGCATGCTAACTTCCTGAGCTGCCACGCAGAAAGGCAGGCACACAATGTGAGGACAAAATCCACCCTGGCCATGATTATTGTGGGAATGCAACCTATTTCCAGAGCTAGTGACATTAACCTTCAGCTGTAACACACTTTGAGCAGCACTTCAGCAGCAGAGAGGCTTACTGCTGTGAGTCTTGAATTAGGCAGCCCACGGAATCCCACATCTCATATCAAATCCCTCAAATTTCAGCCATCTACTGCATTGTCAGCAGTATCAGAGATATCAGAAGATACAGAAAACTGACTAGAGGGAGCATTTTCATTCAGAGACACTGAATTCAACACATCAGGAAAACTATAATTCCTTTCTCTGTAAAAAGAGCTCAAACCATTTGATCCCAAACAGTAGCTCATGACAATTGCAACCTGAAGTAGATGATTGAAGCTGCATATACTCACTAACCACAAATACACTTTTCTATACTGAAGTTAAAAGAATATTTTTTAAAGTTCACTTAAAAAAAAAATATGAATATTAAATATATATATGGGTATAAAATCTACCAAATTCAAGCTAGCTCAAGACAGAAGGAAAATGTGAAACACTGACATGCACACTGATTGCTTAACTACATAAACCTGTATCAGTAGGCAGATCTTGGTGCAGATTTCTAAGGCAGAGATGCTTAGGCTGACAATAAACCTAGAGCAGCCCTCCCTTTCCCCTCAAAGCCCATTATTACTTTTTCATATACAGACCCCCAAATTCCATGCAGCAGCTTAGCACAAATGCAGTATGCACTGGCTCGAATACTATGAAAAGCTTAACTAGCTTTAGCACTGAAGTAAACATAATTTGACAGTAAAGGCTCTGTCACAGCTTTATCTTAATATTTCCCATGTACATATCTAGTTGCTATTTTCAGTTTTTGGAAGAATACATTAAATGCTTTAATTCTTCTATCATATAGCTTCATGTTTCATGATGTAGAACATACAATATCACAACGATTTATCTAATATTAACTCCACTTTTAGGTCAGTATTTATTACCCTGAGGATTGTTGAGTCTTCAGAAATACAGCACCAAAATGCATATAGTACAGAATTAATTGCTCCCACTCAACAGGCATGCAGTGCAACATTTATATCACAGATGTTTTAAAATGTAGTTTTATTCCAGTGACTAACTACAGTCTTTACATAAATTTCAAAACAGCATTATTCAAACAAATCACAGTACAATACTTAAAGAATCTTTAGTATATGCTCCTTTATAAAAGGTTTTGACACAATGGAAAAAATCAGTCAAGAAAAGCTCACGCTACCAGGTTTCTTGATAAACAAAATACCAGTGAATCCTGTACCCATGAGCAGAAGTCTCCATCACAAAGTTTTAAGACACCTCTTTAAATAAACAGGTTTAAATTTTGTTTAGCAGACGAGTTTCTACCACAACGCTGTCCATTAAGTTTTGTGCTTTCCAAAAGGCAAGCATACTGCTGAAATAAAATTCCCTACCCAACAGGAGAGAGAAATTCGGTAAACATGTATTTGTTCCACATTCCAGCAGAGAAATCCAAGTTCATTTAAATTCTCATTACACTAAAACCAAGCGTATTCTGCTTATACCTTCTTCCTCTTTGTCTTCTCCCCGGAGTCTAGTTTCCGTTTCTTAGCATAAGCTGGTTCATCATCTTTTTCATCATCTTTAAACAAAAGACAGAATTACTCAAAGTCAGTAATGCCATATTTTTGTGTTGAACACCAGCTTCATCCCTGAACAAATGACTCAGCCACATCTGAGATGCCGAGAGAAAAGGCATAGGAATACTAACAAACAGCATCCTCATTTTCAGAATGTGGATGATATGTGATCAGAACTGGAATGTTTTGTTGTTTTAACATAACTCAACTGAGGAAAGGCTTTGTTATGGTAGACGCTGCATAGTACTTGCTCCAAAAAAAGTACTGTTTGAATAGATAAGATAAAAAGCTAGAAAATAAGTTTTAGAAGTAGAATGTAATGTTAAAGTCAACAGGGGAGGAAATAAATTAGGAAAAATTTATCCTCAGGAAGAGTGTTGATGCATTGGAACAGGCTGCCCAGGGAGGCAGTGGAGACACCATCTCTGGAGGTGTTTGAAAAATGTGGAGGTGTGGCACGGAGGGACATGGTTAGTGGGCATAGTGGGGACAGACCGACGGTTGAACTACAGCGATGTATCTCAGTGGTCTTTCCACACTTAGTAGTTCTGCGATTCCAATGATGGCCGTACGCTACAGGATACCCTGCAGCTGGGCACCAACCCGGCCGGGAGTCCCAGCAGCATCAGCTCCCCTCGCCTGCCCTACCTGACACCGCGTGCTCCTCCTCCTCCTCGGGCAGGAACCTGGCCCTGCCGGCGGGCCGCGGCGCGTCGTCACCGTTGTCCTCGTAGATGTTGGACCACTTGATGGCCATGTCGACGGCGGGGACCGGCGGAGCCTTCTTCTCGGGCGGGCTGTACACCTCCGGCGGCGGCACGGCGTTCGTCTTCCACGCCTTAAACTCCTTGGGCGGCTGCGGGAGAGAGCAGAGAAGCGGTCAGCCCCACGCGCCGGACCTCAGAAGCCGGCGGACAACCCGGGGCGGGGCAGGGCAGGGCAGGGCAAGGCGGGGCAGCCCCCTCCCCCCGGGCCGTACCTCCTCGGGCGCCCGCAGGACGCGGCTCTCCCAGTCGATCTGCTTGTTGAGCGGGTTGTAGAGGAAGGCGGGCGGCTGGGACACCTTCCGGAAGAGCTCGTCCGGCGGCGGCAGCTTCGGCCGGCTCCCCGGGCTGCTCCCCGCCGCCGCGCCGGCTCCCGCCTGCCGCTCCTCGGCCGAGGCTTCGTCGGCCTCCGAGTCGGAGCTGGAGCTGCCGTAGGCCGCGAAGTAGCCCAGCGGATCCTCTCCCTCCGCCGCCATGGCGGGGCTGCGCGACTCGCCGCCCGCACGGAAACCGGCCCCGCGCCGAGGGTTCCGCCCGCCGGCCCCGGCCTGCTTTGCGGGCGGCAAGCGGCGCCCGGGAGAAGGGGATGGAAATAATTGACCTTTCTGCACTCGCACTTGAGTAGCGAGTGTTCAACCCCGCTAAGTTAGGGCTTTTTTTCTTTCTTTTTTTTTTTTTGAAAAGACCATAGATAAAAAGAGAATTAGACACGAAACTGAGACAACCTCCATTTCTCTTTTTCACACCTGTGAGCTTCAACTAGAGAATAGAGAGAAATGGCATTGCCCTCCGCCTCCGTGCAGGTAAAGCTCCCAGCACCGCTCGGGGCACCTCCACCAACATCAGCTTGTGGCAGCTGTTGGGCAGCACGCAGGCAATCAGGCCCCGCACCCGGCGTTGGAAAGCACGAGGAACTCCCAGCACTCTTGCTGCTACTCATATTCTCAGGTTAGCACTACCAGCTATGAGCCACACACAGCATACAGCAGCAGACAAGGTCTTCATTTCACATGCGTGTTCTCTCTCCCTGTGGCTCTTCAAGGCAGTCCTACCAACACAGGTGTTTCATATTGTCACTCTTTCCACCAGAGACAAGTTCTCTAAAAAGAACAAAAGCCTCTCACGCATACAAAACCAAAATCACCCATCCAGGTACTGGCACAAGCTACTCCTAGAGTCCCTTAGAGCCTACACATTTTAATAAAGGCAAACAGGAAAACAAGCAAATATACAAAAGAATTTATTCAAAAAGTTCTGCTAAAAATATTTCATTTTTCTTAAAAATGCCCATCATAAACCCATTAATAAGATAATACATTCATTCAAAGTCTCAGGTTAAGAAGCTCCATTGCAGGAGCACTCCCCACACGGGCAGGCCTGCTGCTCATTTGCAGCGTGGCAGGCAGCTCACACTGCGTGTACTGATGTACAACAAGACAGTTTCCACTGTGAGCTAAAGGCCTTTTTCAGTAAAGGACAAGCTTGCTCTCTCCCCATTTACAAGAACCCATGAAAGGACCCAAGTCTAAGCTTCCAAGGAAGTGAAAAGAAGGAGGAAAAAAAAAAAAAGTTTGAGAACACACATGCAACTCTTCAAGTGGTATACAGCAACCAAAGGGATATCTAGACACAAACTTCTATGCATTCTGAGTATGGGCAACTGCAGCACAAGTTAAGGGAAGAAAAATCTGCACTTATCCTCCAATTCATGTTAGAGAGCACAATTTTACTTAAATTTAGATCCCAGAGTGCCATCTGTACCAATGAGTTTCACTTAGAATCATTTTCACCATCTTGAAGGTCCTCAGACATTTACAAGACAAGGCTTTTTTATAAATACACAAACCGAAGCTCACATTATAAGCAAATGTAAGCTACTCACGTACTGAATATGGACTACAATTGAACACTGCAGGTCATTTTCACCTATTCCTGAAACCAGAGCAAACATGAAACGAAAGTTTAGAGACTATACTGAGGTCCTGCAAAAGGAAAACACACTCAGGGTTATTACCTGGCTTTTGTCTTAAATGGAATTACACAGCTGTATGAAAACAAAAAGAATTTAAAGCAAGAAATACAAAACCTGTCTTTCAATGTACTGAAAGCATCACATTGAAGTGCAGCATTACAGAATGTTGCAAGAACGCATTTCCAAGAAAAAGTCTGTCGAGTAATTTTAAAGTGGTTAAGGCAGAGTATGAGAGGAATATTGCATTATATTGTGTGAAGAAATACGAGAACCTTCCCATGATCAAATAGTTTAAATGCCTTCAATTCTAAACAACTGTAAACGCGTCTGTGTTGAAGAGCAGGTATCTGAAGTACAACACTTCCAAGAATCTTTCAGTTAAGGACACTTTCTTGCCACAAGACTCCTCTACTCACCCACCAGGACAAAACACACAAACGTTAGTCCTTAACAGCATTATACAATAACATTTTCTGACAGCCCACACGAGTTTTTAAAGAACTTTCTTTTTTAAAAATTAATGAGAATTTGTATTTAAAGTGCATCTCAAATCACAATTTTCTAAATTATATAACAATAATAACATGCCAGGTCTTGTGGATGTGTACTTGCTAGCTCAAAATCACTTTGATACTGAGTGCCTTTCAGTTCAGGTCAGACAAAAAAAGCCCAGAAAATTAAGAGCCTTCTTGTGAATAAGCACAGCACAGCTACAGATTTAGTAAGATCCTTTTTTTTTTTTTTTTCTCCCCCAAATGAAAATACTTTTTTGCAAATTATACTCATATATGGAGGACACAATAATTTAGTGCATGAATTTAAGCTTTTCTGCATGTGAGCATTTTAGTCCAGGACGTTACTTTTCAATACTCTGTGCTTTTGTTCATCACTCTTGCTTTTTCACTCACCACAAAAACATAAAGAAAATTACATTTGTTATTACTATTCTGTAACTGCAGCTTAAGTACCTGCAACTAAACATGGTATCTTAAATATATTGGTTTAAAAACAAACAAACAAACAAAAAGCAGAACAATGAAGAAACAACTTTTGCTGGTATAGTACCATAATTTAAAAAAATAAAAACAAACAAAAAAACCCAAACTCCTTAAGAAAAACAAAATCAAGCAGCTAGAGTCACTCAATTACAAAAAAAAAAAAAAGACTTTAAAACCTCAAATAGCATTGATTGTTTCCTCTGATAACCCAAATTAACAGTTTGAAAATATTTTTTACCCTTAAAAGACTGAAACTCAGTTTCAGTGGCCTTTGGATGAACAGACAAATGTCACTAAATTCACTGTGTATGAAGAGAACGTGATCTTAAAGGCAAAAAGCAATTGTCACTGGAACTAGTACATGGTTCTTGCTGTTCTGACTGGAGCTCTGGAGGGAGAGGGGGTGCACCAGGGTCTCCAGGGCCTGGAAGAGAGACTGAAAAAATTGCACTCTCAACATTTCCCATCTCTGCAACAGGGAGATTCATTGAATGAAGAGAGACAGCAGACATAAATGCAGCAGTGCTATAATCTTCTTCTGGATTATGCATCTGAGTAGATTCTTTGTCTTTTGTTTTATCAAAAAAATTGGATTCATCAGAATATGATCTAGAAAGATTATTTGTTCCTCCATACAGTGAGGTCATACAGGTGCTGCAACTTAGACCTGAAACAAAGAGCAGAGAATAAAATCAGTTACATCAGGATGCATCCTTTAAACTGTGCTCTGAGTTAGTAGTGGTAAAGCTGTCATTAAAGATCAGCTGTGTCCACTTTTAACTGACTGTCCTCTTCATCTTATCTGTGACATTCCAGTACTCACACCAAATTAGAAAATACAAGCAGATCATCTAGTCAACCACATGAAGGTTTTCTCTGTATCAGCTACTAGTTGGTAATGGTGCACTGTAATTGAAGCTTCCTCTAGGAAGTCACATCAGCCCTCTGACCTATCTTTGGATAGAATATTCTCACTATAATCTTCAAACTAACTTTTTAAAAGCTTCAGCTGCACGGTTCTACTTCAAAGTAGATTGCATTTGACAGCTGCTATACTTGAAGCCAGACAAAAAATTCAGATCTTTCATCTCTGGAGTTAAAAATATACTTTCTTCCTTCTTATTTATTTATGGGTGTGGAAGAGGAAGTAAGGGTTTTGATTTAGAAACCTTATACTTTCTTTTTCTGCCTTCAAATGTGAGCACATATAGCTACTTAAGTTTTCTATGTCAACAAAACTTCTGACAGTATGAAGAAGGAGATTAACAGTCTAATTTTAAGTTCTGACATTGAAGGCAAGAATGAGAATTCCCCCTCGTATTGTGTTTACAGACTTATCTTCTGCTGAGATGCAAAGTTTAACAAAACCAAAGCATCCTGCCACTGCAGCAAATAGCTTCAACAGAAACGCAAGATGGAAGATAACCACCTATTCTGAGTTTTGAATTAGAAGCTCATGGAAAGTAAAACTGAAGAGTGAAACAAACTTATTCATTAGAACAACACATAGCACAGTTGTTTTCTGTGTTTGTTTTCTCTGATTTGTTGTTTATTACATGTTCAGAAAATAAAGAAGTAAAGCTAGCAATATATGCCCAGCATTTTAAACTGAAAATTATAAAATTTTCCAAGTATGTTGTCCCAAAAACTAGAGGAAGCAAAAAAAAAGTTGTATAATAATTGTGGAATTTTTGTTTCACAGCTCCTCAAAATAAAACTTCTATCTTACAGTACATTATTATAAACTTCTCACCTTTGAGAGCTTCAAGTTTTTCATTTTTGACTTTCAACACTATGTCAGTTATCTTTTGTAACAGAAAGTTTTGTGTTCTTTCTCGCCTGATGGATTCAACCAAAGCATCCAGTCCCTTTGGATTTTCTGCTAAGTAGTCCAATAACTTCCCAGTTTTTTTCCTATTAGAAGATCGAGAAGAGATCTCCTCCGTGTCCTCTCTAGTGAGTATTTTCTTTGAACGTAGGTAATCAAAGTGTCTCTCAGCTATAATTTTGTCACACAAGTAAGGACGCATCCTTTCTAAAGCCTGAAAAACAAAACAAACTAACATTAGTCAATCTTTCAGTCTTTTAATTTATTTAGAAGCTACACTGAAAATCTTTATGACTTACAGGTTAATAAAGTAGTTCAAAGATGCCACTATGTTATAAGCATATCGTATGCAGAGAATTTTCTCCATGCATCTACTTAAAAAGGAAAAAAAAACCCTTTTCTGTAGCAGTCATCATTTTCCTGAGTGATCTAAGTAGTTTTAATGCATATTAACCAGTGGAGGCAAACACTGAAAATATTTCATTAAGTCTGTGTTTATCACGTTTCAGAACTGTCATTAAATAAAATGAAAAAAAAAACCAACAACAATAAAACACAATAGCAACACTCATTTTGTCTACATTGTCACATCTCTACGCCATTTGTGTGCAGGAGACACACTGTCATTATCAGTGTTCTCTGTACACTGAATAAATGCAGTCTCAGAGCAACAGTATAAATACACTCACTGTTTAAAAGTTGCTTTAGACAGACACAGTTATTTGGGCACACAGGTTCACTGTCAGATTACTGGCATCCACAATACATGCTCTTCCTTCCA